CATCAAAATGGAAAGGCAACCCACTGTATGGGAGAATATCGTTGCCAATGATACATCAGATAAGGGGTTAATTTCCAAAATATATAGAGTACTCATACAACTCAACAAAAGGAAGGCAACGGACCCAATTAAAAAATGGGCAGGGAAGCTAAATAGACACCTCTCCAAACAGGACATACAAATGGCCAAGAGACATATGAAGAAATGCTCAACGTCACTAATCATCAGCGAGATGCAAATTAAAACAACAATGAGGTATCACCTCACACCTGTCAGAATGGCCGCCATCAGCAAATCATCAAACAAGTGTTGGTGAGGGTGTGGAGAAAAGGAGACTCTAGTACACCGCTGGTGGGAATGCAGACTGGTGCAGCCACTATGGAAAACAATATGGTGGTACCTCAAAAAATTAAAAATTGAACTGCCATTTAACCCAGTGATCCCACTTCTAGGAATAACCCTAAGAAGCCTGAAACACCAATCAGAAGAATATATGTACCCCCATGTTCATAGCAGCACTATTTACAATAGCTAAGATCTGGAAACAGCCCAAATGTCCATCAGTAGACGAATGGACAAAAAAGCTGTGGTACATATACACAATGGAGTACTATGCAGCTGTAAGAAAGAAAGATCTCTTATCCTTTGAGACCACATGGAGGAACCTGGAAAGTATTGTCCTAAGTGAAATAAGCCAAGCAGAAAAAGACAAATACCACATGATCTCACTTATAAACAGAATATAATGAACAAAACAGTCTGAGGAATACGGTAGACCCAGAAACATGGAAGTAGCGTACAGACTGACATCCCTCAGAAGAGGAGGTGCGAAGAGATAAACCACAGAGCTTATATGCATGTATGCATAACCAATGGACAAAAAAGCGGGGGGGATGGGGACGGGGGTGCCAATGGGTTAAAAAAGGGTAAACATCTGTAACATAAAAAATTTTAAAAAACAAACAGGTTTTACATATACATATATATTGTTTTTATAATACATAAATTATATAGTCATTCAAATAGTTATTATGATCAGTTAAAGAAAAAGTGTTTAGAAAATGGCAGTTGGGAGTACACAAACACACAAACTAAAAAGAAAAATCAGAAAAAAGGAATGGTCAGAATACAAATGCCAAAGAGAAATGTGGAGACAGAAGTTTTGTTTCAATAAAGTAACAGGCCATATTGAATGTTTTTCAAATCCTATTGCACTTTCACAAACTATAAGCAAAAACGGATTTGTAATCTAGCTCCTGGCATGTTGCAAGAAACTTCTCACAGCCACCTCAACACTGTTTCTCAAATTTTCATGTCTTTCTCCTTGAGCAACCCCCTTTGATCACACCTCTAAACTCTGTCAAGATTTCCATGGGAAGGAGAAAATAAATGACTGAATCTTTCCTCTGTTTAGCCAGGGGAGAAAAAGAGGCACTATTCAAAGTAATTTAACAGGGGACGTGAATGGATGACAGATTTATATAACCACTCAAATGAAATGATCAATAAGGATTTCAATCAAGAATGGAAAAATTAGGTATTCATTTTAGAGAGGTAAGAGTTTCTAGTAGACTATGCTCTCAGCCCCTGGCTTCTCCTAGCCTTGTCAGTAATGTCTCAGTAATCCTATCAAAGTGCAAGTAGACAGCTGTCGAAACAAAAGCTGTGTTGGTGGTAATTAAGGGCCAGCAGAGAATGGTCCTTAAGTTAAAGATTTAGATTGTTTAGATTCTGCCACTAAGCTATGTGAACATGAGCAAGTCATTCAGAGTCAAATTATTTAAACTATAAAATGGGGATATAATGAGATTTCTGTAGCAAAGAATAGATTTAAGTACTTAAAATACAATATAATACATAAAATCCTGTTATTATAAAATATGTCCCAGCTTATGGCATCATAGACTTGTTCATGATACCAGATACTTTTGATAAAATATGACACCAAAATGAGGCACAGTAAAGGATTTCCTTCATATTCCCTTTGGTAAGTGAATCAAAAATAAAACCTTAGCCCTGGTCAGTTTGGCTCAGCCATTAGAGCGTCAGCCTGCGGACCAGAGAGACCGTTCAGTTCCCGCTAAAGGCATGTACCTCAGTTGCAGTTTGTCCCCAGCCCCGGTTAGGTGGCAACCGGTCGATGTGTCTCTCTCACATCAATGTTTCTCTCTCTCTCTCTCCCTCCTGCTCTATCTGAAGATAAATGCAAAAATGACCTCGGGTAAGGATAAAAAAATAAATAAATAAAATAAAATAAAACCTTACATAGAGTTAAAAAATCCCACAATACTCATCTATGGTTGATACATATCTCCTCTTGTTCCTTCCTCAAAAATACTAACTGGGATCTTCTGGCCTATAACCAATTTCGTCTTTTTATTCCTATCCCTCCTTCCTTACTCAGGTACTTGTCTTTAGAAGACCACCTTGTCCTGCAGGGCCTCTAGGTTATCTGCTTCAATCAATTCAGGCATGGCAGATGAACAGGAAAATGATACATAGGCCAAGAATAGGAGAGATACTGGCAGTTAAGTGATAATGCCTTCAGACTGAGAAAAGACATGGATATCACAAGCAGTCAATTATAGGGATCAAGTAAGAAACTGGCAAAAACTGAAGCCAAAATCCCAAGAAATCACACCTAGTTAAATAAGAGTGCAAGAATTTAGTCCATATCATCATGGCCCGTGAAATGATAGTATAGTCAAACAAAGAAATATACTAACTGGGCTAAGCTAGAGTTGAAAATAGGTAACCACACACTGAAATTAGGTTTTTCTTAGAATCAAACTGAACCAGAAGACAGCCAAAAACTCTGGAGAGAATGCCTAAGATTGATTTTGTAAAATAGTAATCTCAAGATAGATTTAATATATTACACTGTTTAGATACAAAGAACAGCAACTAGCATGTCCTAACAAAGAACTATAAACTATCTACTCTGGGAGAAAATAAAAAGTTGTCCATTCTAATAAAGTCTTAATTCCCCATTCATTTCTCTCTATATTTATACTTTACATTGCATATTACTTTATATAGTTATACTTAAGTAATTTCTTTTTCTTTCCTACTTTTCTTACTTTACTCATCAGTATTCCAAGATTAGCGGATGTGAATGACAGACAAAAAGACAAGATGTGAAAATTAGCAAAGTATGTATCTGTTGCCTTTACAGTTCCCATTGTATTTTTTAGGAAGTGTGTTTTATGACGGCATGCACTTCTGTTTATCCACCACAGACATGCACAAACTGCTCAAAGTAAGAACAAAGGTTCTGTGGCTATATTTCTACAATATATAATTTTTAATACACGTTTTAAAAACATAGTCTAGTGGTCAACAATTAAGTTTATTATTCATTTAAGTGAATATTAAGTGGGAATACAAAATATGTAAACCTTTGTGTTTTTTTGAAGTTTTTCAAATATTATAAAAGATGCATTTTAAAGACAGGCAACTAATAGTCTCACTTTCTATTTTTTTTGAATTGGAGAAGCATAGCCCGGCCAGTATGGCTTAGTGGTTGAGTGTCAACCCATGCACCAAGTGGTCACTGGTTCAATTCCCAGTCAGGGCACATGCCAAGGTTGTGGGCCAGATCCCCAGTGAGGGGCTTGCTGGAGATGGCCAATCGATGTTCTCTCTCATCAATGTTTCTATTTCTTTCTCCCTCTCCCTTACTTTCTCTCTAAAAATCAAGAAAAAATATTTTTTTTAAACTGGAGAAGTACAGAGAGGGTAGATTTACTTAGATCTCTAAAACTAACTTTTCTGATGTGGCTATCTTGCTTACCAACCAATCTGAACACCAGTTTTCTTTATAGAAAGAAAGCATTGTTTTTTGATAGATGCTTTAGCTACGTTTAGGCATGCTCAATGTTTCCTTAAATTTAAAAATATTAAACTAAAATTAAAACATGTATATCAAAATTACTTATTAAGTTCACCTTCTAATAAGGTAAGTTTAATTAGCAAATCCTCTTAAAAATATAGTGATAAACCTTCTATGGAAGGCTTTCGTCCCACAATATGGTTCTAACATGATTCTCAGTAACATAGTTTCTATTTGTTAGAGAGGAAATATCAGTTCTTAAGGAAAAAAAGTAAAAACACTTAAATATTATAGATACTTTTATTTGAACAGTCTTATCTGTCCAAAATATAAAGTAATAAAGTCTGCTCTACAAACCACATTGGGTATAAGTATAGAATAAGGTAACGTATGTGAAAATACTTTCTAAACTTTAACATGAGGCAGAAATGCTAGTAACTGTTATTCCTATGACATGTCGGAATCTGTGACCTAACATTCTGCCAACCCGAACACTGGCATTTCTCCACAACTACAGCAATAGAATAACTACTACTCATTCCAAGATGCTGCCATAGTCATAGTTCTATATGAAAATAAAAATTAACTTGTTCTATATATTAATTAGTATGTTTCCAATCAGGGATCAAATCCACAACCTGGGCATGTGCTGTGACCAGGAATGGTACTGGTGACCTTTCAGTGTATGAGATAAAGCTCAACCAACTAAGCCACACTAACCAGGGCTAGAACTGGTGGCTTTATTTATTTATTTTTAAGAAAGTTAGTTTTTAAAAAAATATGTTTCTATTGATTTTTTTAGAAAGAGAGGAAGGGAGAGGGAGAGACAGAAACATGGATTAGCTGCCTCCTGCACACTCCCTACAGGGAATTGAGCCTGCAACCCATGCACCCCGCACTGGGAATCAAACCGGAGACCTCTTGGTGCATAGGACAATGCTCAACCAACTGAACCACACCAGCTAGGTAGTGGTGGCTTTAATTTTAAACTTAGGGTGGCAGCTACCATGAGAATAAAACAAGATAGTAAACATCTAAATCATTAATTAGGTTTATTCTATTTGTGAATATATCTTTTATTTTGAAAAGACAGTTTTAACTCTACTCTTCTTTCATTATTTTTAAAGAAGTTAAGCAGGATGGAAATCACAATAAATGCCAAACTTACAATTCTTGTAGCAAGGTTGCCTGAAGGGTTTTCCTTTTGAAAAGGCAATTGCCACTATGAGGTACTGAAAACTGGAGATAAAAAACACTGTGGTATTTTCATAATTTTGTATATTATGTGGATCATCTTCAGTTTCATTGTACAAATGTGAAGAATTTCCATATTGGCTTCCTGTTGTATTACAAGCACTAAAATACACACCAAAAAAATCTTGTTACTAAACACAATACCAATTTCCCAACAGAAACCAATTTTACCTTGTCTTGAATCACTATCATAAAATAAATAGAAATAAGCTAGAGAGCACAAGATCCAACACTATTAAGATATATGACACAGGTAGAAGAACACTAAGGGTTTTTTCACTTTAGTCACATTTCATTCAGTTATAAAATGAGAAGAAACTTCACTAAATAAAAATCCCCTCCTGCTTTTTCAATTTGCGGAGTAATTTTAGTAAAGGTACACAGACCTTGGATTTGACCTTAGCTCTGCCAGTTTTTAGCTATATTTGGGGAAATACTAATTTCTGAGCCCATGTCCTGATCTGTAAGTGTCAATACCACCTGCTCATTCACAGGTTTACTGTGGGGAAAGAGTAAGATAACACATGTAAATGCCCAGCAAAGCACTTGGCACTGAGATGGGCCTTAATATTCTCCAGCTATGGCTCTCTCATCTCTACTTCCAGGTGGGTAGGACTGTCAAACATATATAGGACTAAGTATAAGAAATCCGCAATATCCATTACTAAAACATCAACTATAATAAGCATAGTAAAGTGGTAACAAAATGTTGATCTGTTACAAATCTAGAAAGATTCTTGAGAACAATCCCATATACTCCTTTTCATAGGCAGTGTTTATATGTACATGTCAGCAAACAGTAATATTAAGTTTCTAAAACTTTAAAGATAAGTAATCTCCTTCAATCAAGCAAACTAAATGTTTGCATCTAAAAATTTAAATCTACAAAATTACTTTAGTGAATAGCTTGTATGTTTAAGTAATTAAAATAATGTTATCATGATTTGTGAACTGTAGAACACTCTATCCATATACAAATAATACTATTTTAAAAAGAACTTAGGTTTTAAAATTTCATTTCCTAAACTGGGGTTAGAAAAGTTAGAAACACCTATATTCTGGGTTTAGAAAAGTTTCTAGTGATTAATTTCAATTTTTTCATTATACAGATCAGGAAATCAAGGCTCAGTAGCAAATTAAGAAACTGGTCCAACTTGATAGTGTTTAAGATCTTGCCAGACCATCTTCCTACAGACAGAAGAAGTTATTATCATATAAAGTCAAATACAAGCCAAATTATTTAAGTGTTCAATCAAACTACATGCAAAACTTTTATGCAAATTTTAGACTTCTTTTTATATGCACGTATGTTACACACACTTTTCAGTTTTCTAAACAGATTAACCAACTTACTCTGAATGTGGACGCCATACTTCATACCAAGGTTGCTGCTTGACCCAAAAAAACCCCAAAGATTGAAATCCAATGCAGACAATGATCTGAGACAAAACGGAGAAGAGAAGGGCCCCCGATATGAGACCTGAAGGTGGTCTTTGTGCCACAAGTTCCTTCCAAGCAGGATTTAAACTCACTATATTGAGAAGAAAAAGATGAAAGGTTTGTAGCTAACCTAATATGTTACTATAAAATACATAATCAGACTCATTTAGGAACTTTAGATTTTTGTTTTTGTCTGACAAATCTTTAACATGAAAAATGTCCAAAATCCAAGCCAGATGTCCACAAGTAATATGTAAAAATAAACAATTTAGGCCCGACTGTTGTGGCTCAGTGGTTGAGTATCGACCCATGTAACAAGAGGTTGCCAGTTTGATTCCTAGTCAGGGCACATGCCCAGGTTGTGGGCCAAATCCCCAGTTGGGGGCATGCAGGAGGCAGCCAATCGATATTTCTCTCTCCTTGATGTTTCTATCTCTCTCTCCCTCTTCCTTCCTCTCTCTCTACAATCAATAAAGAAAAAAAATTTTTTTAAATAAATAAATAAAAAATAAACAATTTAGCCCTGGCCGGTTTGGCTCAGCGGTTAGAGCGTTGGTCTGCAGACCAAAGAGTCCCGGGTTCAGTCCCCACTAGGGGCATGTACCTCAGTTGCAGTTTGTCCCCGGCCCCAGTTGGGGTCGTGTGGGGTGTGGGTGGCAACCAGTCAATGTGTCTCTCTCACATCGATGATTCTCTCTCTCTCTCTTCCTTCCTCTCTCCCTCCCGCTCTAGCTGAAGATAAATGCAAAAATGTCCTCAGGTGAGGATAAAAAAATCAAATCAAATCAAATCAAATTAAATTAAAAATAAATAAATAAATAATTTAGGCTTTTCCAAAAATGATTCAGGAGTACTTTTTATTCTATTGAAATTCAGAGTACAATACTAGTACAAGTAAAAAGAACACTAAATATAAGCATATAAACTAAGATTAATTGTCGCCCTATATGTATAACTAAGAATTTATTTCTAAATCTTGAATTGCAAAACTACAGTTAAAATAATACAGATTTCTTCCTCTTAAGGAGACATTAACAAAGGTTTGAAGCAATATAAACATAACATAAAAAACAGTAACATAAAAAAGGCTTTGACTGTTTATTAAGGTGGTATCCACTGAGTTTCTTCATGGTAAAGTTTCTATTTTTTTCTTTTTACATAAATAATTTGTATACTGAGGCTATGTATAACTCCCATTCCTCATCAAACTTTCATTTACTAATTTTTGTGTTTGTTTTTTTTTAGAGGGAGGGTGGGAGGCAGAAACATCAATCAGTTGCCTCCTGTATGAACACTGACTAGTAGTCAAACCAGCAACCTTTTTTTTTGGTATACAGGGCAACACTCCAACCAACTGAGCCACTGGGCCAGAGCTCATTCTCTAGCTGTAGCATCCATTAAAGGTTGTCTATGATGTATTACAGAACTGTACACCTGAGACCTATATTATTTTATTAATCAATATCAGCCTAATAAATGCAATAAAAAATGAAGAAAAATTGTCTAAATTAGTCATTCTCAACCAACATGATTTCTCCCTCAGGAAACATCTGACAATGTCTGAAGATACTTTTGGTTATCACAACTGGGAGAGTGTTACTGGCATCTAGTTGGGTAGAGGCCAGAAACGCTGGTAAGCATAGTACAATGCACAGAATAGTCTCCCACAACAAAGAATTATTTGGGCTAAAATGTCACTAAAACCAGGCAGGCTCTTTCAATGGTTTAAGTCCATCATTGCATTTATTCACTCATTCATTCATTACCTGCCTGTTTGCCTGCCAGTATGAACTGTAAATTTTTATTTTATTAAATGGGTCAGATCCCAATACCATCATTATTAATTTTGATGTGAATATCACCAATACTGGGATAAACCAACACCTTGTGTCTCCTTATATAATATACTTAGAAAGACATAGCATCATGTCTGTGATATTCCCACCAAGAATTCATAAACTTGTTTGAGAAACATCAGATAAAGCCATATAACTGGCATATTTTCTTTCATAAATGCCAATGTCAAGAGGCCCCAAAAAAGGCTAATGCAATATTCCAGATTAAAGAAGAATAAAGAGACATGATAATTACATGAAGTTTGTAAGCCTTGATTAGATCCTGGGCTAAGAGGATAGGAAAAAAGATAGGTATAAAGGACATTATTGGAACATATGACAAAACTTGAATACCAGCTGTGGATTAGATAATATTGTATCAATGTTCAATTTCCTGATCTTTATAACTATGTTTAATTATATAAGAGAATGGCTTTGTTTTTAGGCAATATATACTAAAATATTCAGAGGCAAAGGCACATGAAAACATAAATTTATACTCAAGTATTTCAGAAAAGAATGGAGAAGAATAAAATAAATGGAGCAAAACATAAGCAACTGGTAATAAAAGGAAATATAAACAGGAAATATGAAGAGGTATCCACAATGTTACAATCATTGATGTAAATTTACTAAAGTTTAATAAGTCACATTGGAATTTCATATGCTTTGAAATCAATAACAAAACAAACTACTCACTTGTAAATACCACTACCAAAATGATTGCCAGATCAATGAAGAGAAACTGGAAGTCTCCTAGGTTACTTAATACCTATAGAAGTAATTTTTTTTAAACATAATTAGTTTTCAGAAACTATTTTTATACCACTTTCTCTTGGGTTTAGTTTCTTCCCCCCCAATAATTACTACTAAATGACACTTGGACCTGCTTAAAAAGTGAAATACATATGCCTTTCAAATCAGAGAAATACAACATATTTGCAAACATTCAATTTAAAATATTAGTATAAAAGTCATCTCCTAACAAGTCGTTCAATAAAAGTATTTTAAAAGGTTTTTGGCAAAAGGAAAACACAAACTTTTACTCACAATATTCAATATTCTTGAAAATTAGTATCTTGAAGCTTCCTTAATATCTAACAACACCCCTCCTGATACTTTCTACAAATGATAAAAAAGTATAGTTTCACAAAGACTCCTTGGGATGTCACCAATGTTCACTTAGAGATATATATATATAAAGTGAGATCACTTCCAGTATAAAATCTGATGGAGTACCCATGGACACACCACTGTTTAAGCTTTTTTTCCCCAAATTCATAATGTCCTACAACTGCTGAAACATCTTTTCTCATTCCTGCCTTTCCCTGTAAGTGTATAGCCAAGTTAACTGTAATTCTGAAATATGTCACAGCTTGGCATTTGGAAGAATTCTAAAAAAGATGTACAATCTGTACTAAAGGCAAAAAGAATCCAATCATCTTTTATTCACAAGGTTCTGCCACAGTTTTTGGCCTTAAGGAAAATGTTATTCCACATTAATGAGATTTTCCAATCTGTTACACAAAACGTAGTAAACTAAATAAAAATTCACAACTGCTACTTAAGTTCCATAACTAATGGATACATTCAAAAATCAAACATATATGCTCATATCTTAATTTAAATGTCTTAACACTAAGTGCCATCTCTGAAGCAGTATTAGTACTCACAGAATACAGTAGAGTAACACTGAAGTACTGTATAATGCTGTACAAAGCCATGAATTTAAACACACAGAAGGAAGTTATTAAAGCAGCACGGCCTTCCCTGTGAAAACAAATGTTGGCATATGAATAAAGGCATTTTAAATTCCTCCTCCAAACCACAATTATATCATGACAGATGAACATCAGTATTCAAGTGCTATAATAAAGCACATTTCTACCCAAAGAACTAAGCCAAAGTAGAATTGGAAGAGATGAGGAGTAACAATCAATCTGATGACAATAACTAACAGATCAAATATACCAAAAAAAACCATAAAAACAAATTCATATTACTTTCTATGATAACTTTTTTCTATATTATTAAAGCAAGCTACAAAGAGACAACAGGGAAATTTTCTATTTGTCCTACCTAATAAGATTTGGCACACAAGAAATACTAGGAGTTTTGGAGGTAAAGGGAGATGCCACTGAAGCCTCGAGCTCTGATAAGGAAATGCCTCCATGTGCCCTCTTCAGAGCCTAAAAGTGTGAAAAAGGAAACGGGTTAAGTTTTGTGAATGTGACTTAGGCTAGAGAAAAAAATGTAAGTTTCAAAAAGTATACTTACACCACAATCATTTGCACCATCACCACACATCCCAACAAAGTAACTAGGAAACACAAATTAAGTAACCATTTTGATTAATTTCTTAAAACACACGACACTTAACATAATATTTCTCTAATATAGTACTATGGAGAGCTAATAAACCAAGATTCCTTCAAGGAAACAAATGAATGTTTTCATGTCCACAGGCATGTGGCTCTGCACCAGCATGCATGTCAAATTCCCTGGGTAGTCTCATATTTATGTCACAAAATAGACACATCAGTTTATCATTTTATCATCTCAATTTCCTAATCTTTAGAGCAAAGTACGTGGGCTTATATAGTCTTTAGCACACTTACTTGTAAGGCTATCAGTAAAGAGTTCTCTCTTAAAAATTTGAAACATAATTATTTATTAAGTCTATACCCATGCCCTGGCCGGTTTAGCTCAGCGGTTAGTGTCAGCCCAAGGACCGGAGTCCAGGGTTCAATTCCAGTCAAGGGCACATGCCTTGGTTGCAGTTCAATCCCCAGCCCTGGTCGGGGTCATGCGGGAGGCAACTGGTTGATGTCTCTGTCTCTCCCTGTCTCTCTCTCCCTCTCCCTCTCATACCTAAAAATCAATGAAAAAAAATCCTCTGGTGAGGATTTTCAAAAAAAACTATAAAGTCACTTCTATCAAACTGAAATGAAAGAACTCTACCTCATAGATATGACCTGGAAAAGAAATTGCATATTGTACTCGAGCTGTCAGAGCCTACACGAGCACACAAGCCTCTTTTAAAAAGACATTTCAAGTTATCACCTACCTATCTTATAGGGAACAATAATATATACAAAAAATATTAATTACTTTTCTGGGTTTAAAAATGAAACTACAAGTCATTAAACACACACACACACCAATACTCACTCTACATTTTGCAATGCTTCTACTAATTGTGTCTTCTGATCGGGTGCCATACGAGCAAACACGGTGCCGTGTAACATCAACTGAAAAATATATTAATTCTTTTAAAATACTGTTCAGAATGTATTCATGTGAACACATACATAAACCCAAATCACTAACCTTTGGAACAAGGTCTTGAAAATGCTCCAGTATCACCGAAAATGATTTTCCATTCATTGCAAAATGATAACGAGTCACCGGAAGATCCTCTAAGGTATCATGGACCAATTTAATTGGAATAGCCTGTGTATACAACATTCAGAACAATAGCTAGGCAGCCAAACCAAGTAACACCACCCTATTTTAAATATATTTGATCCAAAACTAAATTATTTCATTTGACATTTTACACAAAACAGTGAAAGTTTAACACTTATTGAAATTAAAAGAAAATTCAATTTTAAGGGGAATCTATCTATTTAGTAAAAAAAAAAAAAAAGAAAGAAAATAAAAACTTAAGGAAGGCTAAATACCAGCCTCAATTTGAAATGATCCATGAACTAAATATTATGTCCCACCTGCATCATTTATCACTACTTTTAAAATAGGATAAATCTTTGGGATTCTTACACTTTAAAACTGTGCTTCTCAACTTTGTCTATCAAAATTTAAAACACTGAGATTCCTGGGTCTAATGAATCAGAAGCCCAGGCTTCTGTTTTTGTTTTATTAAATTTTAATAAACCACATTTTATTTTTTAGACTAAATTAAAACAAGCAAACTTCAAAAGGGGAAATACATTTTGACATTACCTCCGAGTCAATTGCTGACGAATTACTGCACTGTGTTAGAGTGTCTGCATAATGCCAATTTATCTTAGCAACTTTCCCATCCTTTGGAGGTAATGCTTCAGCAATAATTACTTTATCCTGAGGTAGTATCATTCCACAGTCTCTGGCCACAGAGACAGCAGTTAACATGTTGTCACCTAATTTTCAAAATATTAAAAACACTTAAAATTAAATGAAAATGAAAACATAAATGTATTAACTGACAAGTACTTAATGAGAATCTACTATAGTCCCCATGACTGGGCTGAGCAAAATGAAGATAACGTGTGGTCTTTACTCTTGGAATTTAAATAAAATCAGAACATACTTATCAAAGGAAGCCATGTCAGAACATTCTCACCCACAATTTTTAAAGCCAAATAAATTCTCAATCTATATTTTTTTTAATCCTCACCTAAGAGTGTGTTTTTATTTATTTTAGAGAGAGAAACATCAATGTGAGAGAGAAACATTAGTTGGTTGCCTCCGATATGCACCCTGATGGGGAATAGAATCCACAACCTAGGTATCTGCCCTGACTAGGAATCGAACCCGCAACTTTTTGGTGCATGGGACAACACTCCAACCAAAAGATCCACCCAATTAGTGCCATTGTCAATCTTTTCGAGTCATGCAGTAGTAGTACCCACTCAACACTTGGTACCATGCTACATACAGAGTAGGTGCTCAATATATATTTATTGAAATTACCTAAGAGTGCAATTGGTGATCTGTTTAAGAATACTAGAATAGTATCACAGGAAAAATAAATGAATGATAAAAGCAAGATTACACAAAACTAAAAGATAGAAAAGATAATAAAAATATAATCTTTATAAGATGTAAAAAGAAGCAAGACAGACAACTTCTCGGTCATGAGGAAGAACAGCACTGAAGGACAGGCTCAAGAGAAGAAAATAATAGCATACAGGAGAAGCCGGCAAAGGTTTTGGGAGCCCACTGCTATCTGAACTCAAGGGCAATATTATCCCCCCGCCCCCAACTCCCACACACGAGTTTTAAGGGTGTCTTCCTTTGACCAGACAGACCCCACCTTAGGACAACAAAACCATAGTCATGGCAGAGAAAGAGGGGGAAGAGATAGAGATAGAAAGTGCTTTGAAGCAGTCACTAAAACCAGTAATTGATGGGATGCTAATAAATTTAGTTACTTGAGCTGTATCGTCATAACTATGCTATTAGGTGAATCTCAGAGTCTAAAACATAAAAATGTGCTTATCCTTTAACATATAAGTCTTACTGAACACATAAATGCCATAAAGAGAATATCTTAATTTTGATTACTTACTAAGAAAAAAACACTTCTAGCTGCCACAATTTCACACAGCTAAGAAATGGCAATTATCCAATATTCTCAACAATACAGCCCTGGCTGGTTTGGCTCAGCGGTTAGAGCATCAGCCTTTGGTCCAGAGTCCCAGGTTCGGTTCCCGCTAAGGGCATGTACCTCGGTTGCAGTTTGTCCCTGGCCCTGGTTGGTCATGCGGGTGGCAGCCACTTGATGTGTCCCTTTCGCGTCGAAGTTTCTCTCTCTCTCTCTCTCTCTCTCATTCCCACTCTATCTGAACAAAAAATGGAAAAATGTTCTCGACTGAGGATAAAAAAAAACAATACAATAACACCAGGAGAATCATTCATCTATAGTAATTTTTTTAAAAAAGCCTATTTCCACTTTTATGCTGATTCAAGCGATTATAATAAATGTACCATCTTATACATAAAAATGTAATTCTAACAAATATTTATATCATTTTCCATGTGCATGGCAGTTCTGAAAAGTACAGAAAACCTCCAGATAACTAAAAGATACTCTTAACCCTCAAAAATCTCATATTCACCCAGCCGGTGTGGCTCAGTGGTTGAGTGTCGACCCATGCACCAAGAGGTCGCTGGCTTGATTTCCAGTCATGCCACGTGCCTAGGTTACGGGCCCAATCACCAGGGGGGAGCATGTAGGAGGCGGCCAATCGATGCTTTCTATCATCGATGTTTCTCTCTCTCTCTCCTCCCCTTCCTCTCTAAAAATCAATTTAAAAAAAAAAAAGAGAGAGATAAAAAGGAGCAGAGTTTAAATTTTTATAGTGTTCCCTTGACTATCTTACTCTAATTTCTATAAATAGAATTTGTCAGACTTCAAAAGAATATTGCCACATTAGTTTATACCTTGAAAAATACTCAGAGCTGAAATAGGGCAATATAGGATGCAGCCACTATATAATATGCTTTTATAACCAACTGATCATTTGTAAATATTATGTAACTTGAACTCTAAGAGTCACACTCAATTTTTTCTGTGTCCTTTTATAAAGTCTAACCTGTGACCATGACAGTGCGAATGTTGGCTTTATGCAAATCTTCAAGTACTGCAGGGGTTTCTTGCTTTAATTTGTTCTGCATTATAATTAATCCCATAAAATCCATGTTGTTTTCAATGGCATCTCTGCAGATAAAGAAATTTTAACACACAATGGTTTAGTCAAGAGAACAGGCTATTTTCTCTTTATATTGATAAAGCAATTTAAAATATCCAAAAATTATAAACTAAGACATTTTATACGCAGAATTAATCACATATGTGTGTGCTTATGAGTTCAGTATCTCAAAAAAACTTAAACCTGAAAAGACAATTCCCAAGAAATACATTTTGAAATTAAATTTTACCCTTTGAAATGCAGGAATATAAGGATTATTTGGAAACATATAGTTGGCTCTCCACAGCCCCAGGGGTTCTTGGAACCAATCCCTACACAGATATCAAGGGACAACTGTATACCTTTGTAAGACACTAAATACTTATAGTACTGAGAAATGTTCAACTTGTATCCCACTCACCAAAAGAGCGAGCATAAATAAATGTATTTCTTTTACTGTCCTCCACACAACATACCCTAACTTAAATGTTAAAAGAAAAAGAAAAAACAATTAAACTAGATTCTTTATCAAGTTTTTGATGAATTTTATAAACTCTTGATCAAATTCTTGATCCTTGAAGTGTGATCTAAGAAGTATCAGATAGTCAACAATAAACTCTACATAGAACCCAGAGATAAGTCTTTTAGAATATTCATATTCAATAAAGATGCTATTCCTTCAAATAGCTGAGTACCTACAATGCACCAAGCACTATGGTAATCTTTAGGATGTCAAAGATGAAAAGACATGCTCTCTACTCTTTGGGAAACAACATGCAAGCAAAGAGATACACACAAAAATAATAAGAGCCTCAGCACTATGATGGACATGAAGTCTGTTCAGTGTGTTAAAGAAATCTCAAGCTACCACAGTTAAATCAGAAACATTTTTTCAATGGAAAAAGGGGGCTTAAGGTTACAGACCAAAATTTCACACTTACAATAACCAAATGGGTTTTCTACACAAAATTCGACAAAAAAATTCCTTTACATAACTATAAATCTAAACATCTTTGATACATAATTTAGAACAATGGGTGTTAAAGGATAGTTAAGAAAACTTAATACAAATGGTATAGCTGGTGGCAGTAGGAGAAACAAGCCTTGAAACCTGAAAATGCATTTCATAGTGCAAAGCTCTACAAATGTGAAACTACTGGGTCAAAAGCACTGCAGCCATTTTCCTATGTGGTACTAGCTCTTTCTGGCTGCAGCTGGTTTCTTAACTTTCCTATGATACAGGTCAAGGAAATTTTGCCCTCTAATTAATGAATAGCACAATATCTGATTGGAGAGATAAAGGTTCAAGTTGTTAGAGAAATGCCAAAACCTATTCCCAGAAGGTAGAATGGACACACAGAGGTCTCAGTTGAAAAGTAAGGATGAAGGGGAGCAGAGAGAGAGAGAAGCTGATACAGGAATAGAGTATTCTGGGCAGAAGGAATAGCCTATCCAAGGGCATAGAAAGATGCCTGAATATAACAGACTCAAGAATTAAAGACAATTTAACAGTTAGTCCTTAGGAGGGAAATGGTGAAAGGTGAAGTTGTAGATAAAAAAAGAGCCCAATATGTCCTTCACAGAAATCAGAATACAGTATTTTACATTTTGGCTCCCAATCATGTATATGCATTAAATCAGTGATTATCACTTGGGGGAGGGTGGGGCACACATTCATACTTAGACCACATCCCTCAAAAATTGTTTTATAATTAGAATTCTGAATGTAGTTTTTCCTTTTAGTTAATTTGGTTATCTACCCTATTCCTTTAGTTCTCACTCAGAAAATATGATTGTCCTACAAACACTTTTTTTTCTTATTTTTATTTTTTTAATCCTCACCCGAGGATATTTTTCCATTTTTTTTGTACAGATAGAATGGGAGGGAGAGAGAGGAAGGGAGAGAGAGTGAGAAACATCGACGTGAAGGGACACATCGAGCGGCCGCCACCCGCACGACCAACCAGGGCCGGGGACAAACTGCAACCGAAGTACGTGCCCTTAGCGGGAACCGAACCCGGGTCTCTCCAGACCACAGGCCGACGCTCTAACCGCTGAGCCAAACTGGCCAGGGCGTCCTACAAACACTTTTTACTTAACGTGCCTAGAATAATTAACAGAAGTTCTAATAGTCCATAATTTAATGCCCTATGGGTGAGTATTTGCACTATGTTATTTGCACTATTTAAACATGAACTTACTACACACATGAGAAAATATATCTTCAGGCTGGATTCCTAGAACTGCACTTCTAGGTCAAATTATAAAAGCAAATTATAATGTTCTTTAGAATTTACAGTAGTGTAGTAGCAATATGTTGTTACAATTTTCTCAAACCTTCCCTAACACTCGCTATTATCAATCTTTCCAATTTTGCCAACCTTAGGAAATAAGCGATGTCATAATGTTGTTTATTTTGTACTTCCCGAAGAACTGAAGTGTTCTATCATTTTCATGTGTTTACTGGCCATTTATTTATTTTTTTTCTGATATTTATCTGTTTGTATTATTTGCCTATTTTTGAAAATTGTGTTTTGTTTTCTTTCCTGATGCATATACCTGATTGTGAACTCCTTTAGTAGGTGATGGGGAACGATTTATAAGAATTCCATGGCCTAGCTGGTTTGGAGCAGCAGTTACGAGTTGGCCTGCACAATATCCCTGATGAACATAGATGCCAAAATCCTGAACAAAATACTAGCAAATCGGATCCAGCAATACACCAAAAAAATTGTCCACCATGACCAAGTGGGATTCATCCCACGGATGCAAGGTTGGTACAATATTCGTAAATCCATAAATATGATACACCATATAAATAAAATGAAGAATAAAAACCACATGAAAATATCAATAGATGTTGAAAAAGCCTTCGACAAAATCCAGCATCCATTTCTGATAAAAACGCTCAGCAGTGTGGGAATAGAGGGATCATATCTCGACATAATAAAGGCCATATATGAAAGAACTACAGCCAACATCATATTCAATGGGCAAAAACTAAAAGCATTTCCCTTAAGAACAGGAACAAGGAAATGATGCCCACTTTGCCACTCCTATTTAACATAGTACTGGAAGTCTTAGCCACAGCAATCAGACAGGAAGAAAAAATAAAAGGGATCCAAATTGGAAAGGAGGAAGTGAAATTGTCATTATTTGCAGATGACATGATACTATACATAGAAAACCCCAAAGACTCCATCAAAAGTTTACTGGATTTAATAAATGAATTTGGCAAAGTAGCAGGATACAAAATTAACGTCAAGAAATTGATGGCATTCTTATACACCAATGATGAACTCACAGAAAGAGAAACTAAGAAAACAATCCCATTTACCATTGCGGCAAAAAAATTAAGATACCTAGGAATAAACTTAACCAAAGAAATAAAGGACCTATTCGCAGAAAACTACAGGTCATTGAAAAAAGAAATAGAGGAAGATATAAAAAAATGGAAGCACATACCCTGTTCATGGATTGGGAGAATTAACATCATTAAAATGTCCATATTACCCAAAGCAATATATAGATTCAACGCAATCCCCATCAAAATACCAACGGCATACTTCACAGAATTAGAACAATTACTTCAAAAGTTCATATGGAACTAAAAAAGGCCTCGAATAGCCACAGCAATCTTGAAAAGGAAGAACAAAGTTGGAGGGATCACAATACCAGATTTCAGGTTATACTACAAAGCCACTATAATCAAAACAGCCTGGTACTGGCACAAGAACAGGTATATAGACCAGTGGAACAGAACAGAGAACCCAGAAATGGACCCAAGGCAATATTCTCAATTAATATTTGACAAAGGTGGCAAAAGCATACAGTGGAGTAAGAACAGTCTCTTCAATAAATGGTGCTGGGAAAATTGGTCAGCTACTCGCAGAAAAATGAAACTAGACCATCAACATACACCCTACACGAAAATAAACTCAAAATGGATAAAAGACTTAAATGTAACTCATGAATCCATAAAAATCCTAGAAGAGACTGTAGGCAACAAAATTTCAGACATCATACGCAGCAGAATTTTTACTGACACCTCACCTAAGGCAATAGAAACAAAGGAGAAAATGAACACATGGGACTACATCAAACTCAAAAGCTTCTGCACAGCGAAAGATACAATCATCAAAACGGAAAGGCAACCCACTGCATGGGAGAACATAATTGTCAATGATATATCAGATAAGGGGTTAATTTCCAATATATAGATAGTGCTCATACAACTCCACAAAAGGAAGACAAAGAATCCAATTAAAAAATGGGCAGAGGAACTAAATAGACACCTCTCCAAACAGGACATACAAATGGCTAAGAAACATATGAAGAAATGCTCAACATCACTAACCATCACAGAGATGCAAATTAAAACAACAATGAGGTATCACCTCACACCTGTCAGAATGGCCGCCATCAACAAATCATCAAACAACAAGTGTTGGCGAGGGTGTGGAGAAAAGGGGACTCTAGTGCATTGCTGGTGGGAATGCAGAATGGTGCAGCCACTATGGAAAACAATATGGTGCTATCTCAAAAAATTAAAAATTGAACTTCCATTTGACCCAGTGATCCCACTTCTAGGAATATACCCTAAGAAGCCTAAAACACCAGTCAGAAAGAATATATGTACCCCCATGTTTGTAGCAGCACTATTTACAATAGCTAAGATCTGGAAACAGCCCAAGTGTCCATCAGTAGACGAATGGATAAAAAAGCTGTGGTACATATACACAATGGAGTACTACGCAGCTGTAAGAAAGAAAGATCTCTTATCCTTTGAGACCACATGGAGGGACCTGGAAAGTATCATCCTAAGTGAAACAAGCCAAACAGAGAAAGACAAGTTTCATATGATCTCACTTATTTGTGGAATATAATGAACATAACAGTCTGAGGAATGGGGTAGTCCCAGAGACGCGGAAGCGGGGTACAGACTGACAATACCCTAAAGAGGGGGGGGGTGGGGGAGAGATAAACCACAGAACTTATATGCATGTATGCATGAACAGTGGACATAGACAACAATCTGGGGAAAGGGCAGGGAGGGAGGGGGAGAGGGGAATCAGTGGAAGAAAAAGGAGAAACATCTATAACAAAAATTAATTAATAAAAAAATCAATGAAAACATATTTTAAAAATAAATAAAACTATCATTTTTTAAAAGTTTGTGATTAAAAAAAAAAAAAAGAGTTGGTCTGCAGACCAAAGGGTCGAGGGTTCGATTCCTGGTAAAGGGCACGTGCCTAGGTTGCAGGTTTGATCCCCAGACTTGCCATGAGAGAGGCAACCAATCAATGTATCTCTCTCACATCAATGTTTCTTTTTCTCTCTCCCTCTTCCCTTCTGTCCTTTCTAGTCTATCTTTAAAAAAATCAATCAATTAATGGAAAAATACCCGTGAGTGAGGATTAACCAAAAAAGAATCCCAGGTAGAAAGGAAGAAGACTGCTATTAGATCTGAATGTTTAAAAGCTCTCTCTCTGAAGGCAGTGTGGAACACAGACAGCCAATGACTATTGGTTTCTGCTTGCTTACAACTGCTAGGTACACCATGAAAGATTTCTAAACAAAAATGTTATTCTCAAAGGGTAAGTTTATATCCATTACAGTAAAAGTGACAATCCTTGAATGTCAAACCCATGTCTATACATGGACATAATTGTGATACTGGTAATACCATTTGACCTTTAGAGTAGAGGGTAATTGCGTTTTGTGACTCATGATACTCTGTCTAAATAAGTACTTGGTTTTAACCACTGGACAAAAGCAAGTTGATCATTTTGGAAAAACGAACTTCTGTAGAATTAGGTTTACTAAAACATAATTAAGTTCCTAGAACATGCCTGACACATAGCAGGGACTCAGTAAATATTTAACAAATAAATTGAATATAGTTCCAAAGAGCTAGACTTTTATCTCAATCAACTAAAACATTGCATTATGTATATTTGCATACATTAAATATTTAATAAACACCCAATTACATACAAATTATTGTGTGACTTACATACACATAAATAATGCATCAGAAAAACTAGAAAAATCGTTTATCAACCTTACCTGCTAATATTCTGTACTTTATGCCATGTCAGTTTTGACTCCAATTTTCTGTGTGCAAGAGCAATTACACGGAAGCCCTGTTTAGTGTAATCTTCCAAAACTTTTTCAAAATCAACAGGAACTGTAAAAGGAAAAAATAAATATAGACTGTTAGAATTGCTAATACAAGCTTATACAAATATCAGAATTGTATTCAAAGCCTAGTTGGCTCCTTACCTGTTTCAGATTTACAAAGACTGGCAATGACCTCAGGTGCTCCTTTCATGTAAGCATCCATTTTTTTATCGCCTAGCACCCTTGCAACCACACTCATACGTTGCAAAGCAGAAGAAAATGGGAACTGGCGAACAATTCCTATCTCATAAATAGCCTGTATAATTTCAAAAGATGCACAAAGCATTTATTATTCTTTAAGAATTAAAACAAATACACTTAGGTAACAAGTAAACATTCTTCACTTACTGGAAGTTCAAACAGCTCCTAAAACAAAACAAAAAGAATAAAGAAATAGTATAGATTAAGTCCATTAATATACTCAGGACAAAAAACAACTATGAATCCACAAAACATTATTTGGCAAATGGCAAAAAAATTCGATTATTTCAAAGTCATGTTTTAAAATTGCTTCTCCCCTGCCTCCCATTTTGAAAAAGTATATTCTTGAATATTTTCAAATATTCTGCTATCCTAAAAACACTAATATATTAAATACTAAAATAAACTATGGGGAACATATTTAAAAATTCACCTAAAAATAAAGCCTCTCACATATTCTTTCTATTAAATTCTAAGAATACAGGTGCTATTTGAAAGGATTAATCACCATGTCACCACATATCTAAATCACAAGGCACTAAGCTGTTCAATAAATAGGAAGAAAAAGTAATGGTACTGAGAAATAAATCTCAATATTTTACAAAAAATACCTGCAATACCCCAGGTGTAGTTTCTAATAAATGCAGTTAAAATATTCATATCTGCATGAGAATTAAAGAACATGTGATTTCTTTTTCTAGTTATATTTTAAAGTGAAGACTGAATGTGGGCAGTAATAGTATAATCCAGCTTAAAGTGATTTCGCACCATTTCTTGGTTTCCAGCAGGTGTAGATTCAGGAAGAAGTTGTTTTGGAGGACGAACCACAGTTGGCATAATTCGATTATGAAGTGCTGTTTCCTCTTCAGTTGCTTCTTCTAGAATCTGAAAGGAAAATATTCAACATACTGCTTCATAAAACTTAATTCACTAGTTCCACTTTTAAATGAAACACTATGGCTATTTTCAGTGAAGTAAAAAAAATATTGGGAGTCCAAAAAGTAAACGAGCACTACTAGATTATTAACATAAATAAAACAAAATATAAACAAACTACTTAAAGTCCTAGCAACACATGGGTGAAAGGAGAAAGAAGTTAGCAGTAGAATAAAGAAATAGAGAAAGCCTGGCCGGTGTGGCTCAGTGGTTAAGCATTAACCCATGCACCAAGAGGTCACTGGTTCAATTCCTGGTCAGGGTACATGCCCAGGTTGTGAGCCAAATACCCAGCATGGGGCATGCAGAAGGTGGCCAATCGATGTTCTCTCTCATCAATGTTTCTATCTCTTTCTCTCCCTTCCTTTCTCTCTAAAATCAATAAAGAAAAAAAATTTTTTTTAAGAAATAGAGAAAAATTTCTCTAATTCTGCTCCCATAACCTGTTGGGCTTAGAGACTAGTACCACCAAACAAACAAACAAACAAACAAAAAAAGTTCTTAACCATTCCAAAAGCTTCAGTCTATCATCCAGGGATTCCTTTCTGCTAACAGAACAGTGTTAAAAACTATATGGAGCTCAGATATGGTTAGTAGAACCAGTGGATCAAGTAGAATCAGTGGATCAAGAACACACTGAGGTCCAAAGACGTAAATATATTGTTCCTGTTTGAATTTTTCTAGTTAGGGTATCACTAACCTAACCCCTTAACAATTACTTTAAAAACAATTTTTTTTTTTTTTTTTGTAAAAAGTTTAAATAACTTGTATTGAAAATACACAGAAATGAAAAACAAGCTAATTTAAGTATAACTGGAGGAATCAATCAACAGGAGAATAATGGGAGACAGGAACTATGCCCAATTACCCAATTTTATACAATTCTAAGACACACTTTAACATCTCTGAAATTGGGAGGCATCTCATAGGGAATCTCTCACACCAAATAGCAGTAGTTCCCAGTTAGGGAAAACATTCCACTGATCCTTTCTGATAAGACCAAGCATCAAAGCATCTAAGTCAATAAAACTTGCTATAATCCAAACTTACTAATTCAATACATTTTTTAAAATTCTACAAACAAAACACTAAAATCTACCGAAAATCTATTCAGTTGGAGAAAAGCCTTAGAGAACATCAAAAACAAATCAGTCCTATTGTGCTTTACTCTCTACAAATAAAGTGGGCCTCCTTTAGGAAATTAAATTCGACAAGTACTTACTGTGAGCTTTCAGAAGCTGGCAGAGAGCACTTATCTACTCGTTCATCTCCTTCCCCTTCAAATATGAACAACACACACACACACACACACACACACACACTAAACCTATAAAAGTAAACAAAAAGGATAGTAGGGAGAGGATATTTCCAATAAGGAGATAAAAGGCAATACTGAAACACACTGATGAATATAGCAATGAAGGAAATAGGAGCCCAGAATAAATGACATACAGGAGAGGTGGAAACATTTCTCACCAGCCAGAATAGCTGAAATAAGCAAAAAACCAAAATCAGGGAGTCATTCCCTAGAGATATGGACTCCTATCTAAGAGGAGGAAGGGCTCCAATATGAGGGTTACCACTCGAGTAAAGCCCTGCTTGTGCAAGCACTTGGAGTGTGTGAGGAGCTCACCTGAAGACTAATTCTGTTCCTCTGAAACTAAAGAATGTCTGCTGATGAGAACCCACCCTGGACACACAAGCTCCCCTGAGCCAGTCTTCCCATTCAGGGGAGATGCTTTTTAAGAAAATAGTTTTACATACCAATGGGTAAAGATAAAAACCTTACTGCAACTAACCAGAGTTATCAAATCAGACCTTCATTCTTAAATATAAAAGTATTATCAAGATGTATAATGCAAACAACAAGCATGAAGAAAGATTAAGGGTAGGGAAGAAGAACAATAATGACCCAGAGAAAATAAATCATTAGAAGCCAGAAGGGAATTTTATTTTTTTATCCTCACCCGAGGACATTTTTCCATTTTTGTTCAGATAAAGCAGGAGGGAGAGAGGAAAAGAGAGAAACATCAGCGTGAAAGGGACACAGAGTGGCTGCCTCCCATATGACACCAACCAGGGCCAGGGACAAACCGCAACCGAGGTACGTGCCCTTAGCGAGAACCAAAACTGTGTCTCTCTGGATCGCGGGCCAATGCTCTAACCGCTGAGCCAAACCGGCCAGGGCAGAAGGGAACTTTAAAAATTAAACTATCATTGCATCTATAAAAGAACTGAGTGCTGTGAAATGATTAACAACCAAAGAACATAAGCAAGCACATAGCAATTAAAATTATCAATGGCAAAACATATGGAAAGAACAAACACAAACCTCTGTGTGTGTAAGGACACAGGAAGTAGAAGATGGGGACAAAGAACACTAAAGATACATCACTACTATACACCTTTTATCTGACCAACAAATTGTGATGCTGAAGATCATCTTACTGACTCAGGCTTACTACCCCAAGTTGCGGATAGCTGATATCTATTATACACATAAAACAGGGGTCATCCTCTATTGAAGGCGTTTAAGTGAGTCAATATAACTAAAACAGACTTTTTTTTTTAACACAATTATAATGATCACTCCAGTGATTCACTTTTAGAAATTACATAGTTCCTTTCATGGAACAAGATAAACAGTTGTCAAAACAACCAGCAGAAACAATCCCTCTGGCAAGGTAATTTTTACTCTATTTCCCTAAAGTTACTGTGCTTTAAAACTTTAAAACATTAAACTTACCCATCCGATGGCTTCAAACATTTTCAAATCAAGTGGATCACCAGAAAGCACTCCTTCAATTTTTGTGAGTGAATGGCAAGTAGCCATACAAGCAACAAACTGAGACTTTACCAACATCTGATTGCAAACGTTTTCTTCTGGCAAAAGAAAACTAAATAGGAAATATACTGAATTAGATTAATGAATTCCAAGACTCAAGACAATATTCTAACAATATTCAGGTTTAGTAATTTTTAAAAATGGAAATAAAATGTTTGCATTTCTACATTTGTTTTAAAATCCTCACCCAAGTGCCTGGTCGGTATGGCTCAGGTCTGGTTTCAGGGCCCAATCTTTGAACCACTGCACTATTCAGGATGGGATTTGGGTTTCACTACATGCTACTGACTGGTCCGAAAATCCCCAAATTATAAAAGTAACATTCAAGTTTGTCTGGCATCACTGATACCACTCTTAGCTAAGCTCTTGGCCAAGCAAAGTCAAAGCTCTCTAGAGAAGAGCTCCCACAACACAGCCACAAAGGAGGGAGTTTCCCAGGAAAATCCTGCTAAAGATAAGTTCATAATTTTAAAATGCACCAGAAAACAATTATCATTAGCCAACAGACACAAAAAAGAAAGAATTAGAATCCCATAAATTTCAAATAATAGAATAGCCATCTAAAAAATGTGAAAATGACTTCCGGTCAAGATGGTGGTATAGGTAGATGCAGTACTAGTCTCCTCCCACAACCACATCAAAATTGCAACTATATCACAGAACAACCATCACTCAGAACGACCTGAAATTGAGCTGAATGGAAGTCCTACAATTAGGGAATTTTAAAAAACCACATAGAGACTGTCTGCAGCATGGGGAAGGCAGCTTGAGAGGCATCAGAGGCGTACTGGGAAGAACTGAGTTGTTTGGCATGAGGGTGACATGACAGCTGGAGAGACAAACGTGCTGGCAGAGTCCTTGTTCCTTTGGTGAGCCCTTCCCCAACAAGGCTGGCAGACTGGTGCCATATCTGGGACTCCAGCAACCTAGTTCCATCAACCTCTTTGCCCCGCCCTGGTGATTCCCTGGGGCCCTGCCCCACCCAACTTTCAGGCCCATCCAAGCTGTTTCCAGTAGCTTTACCATTGGATTGACCTGTCTTGGCTCCTGCTTCAGATTTTCCTAAATTCTCTCAAACAAGCAGCATCTGGCCTCAGCAAGCCCCATACCTCTCATAAGTGGCCCCAGGCTTGGCACTAGAAGTAGCCAGCCTTGGTTCACAATTTAGCCTTGCCTGGGCAACTCCAAGCCCAGCACAGGAAGCAGCCGTCTACAGACTGCTTTGTAGCTTATGCTAGGTGGCCGCAGGTAGAACACAGGCAGTGGCTGACTTTACCCCAGAGCCAGCACACCCAGTAGCTTCAGGCCACGTCAAAGCACCATCACCCAACCACCCCCACAAGTGACACACTCAAGGAGTGGACTCAGTGGGGACCAGAGCCCTGTTGAAATAAGTCTTGCTCTATGTGGTGGGCCCCTACACGGCTGATCTTCCCAAGTAGTCAAAGGCCAGTGGTCAGTGGGCACAGCCAGTCCTTACAGCTGATCAGCCTGAGTACATCCCTCCCATTGACGTGCCAACAGCAATCAAGACCCAAGTACAACAGAAGGGTATACAGTCCACACCAGGGGTACACCTTGAGGGCCCAGCTTGGGTGATCAGGCAGGCTGTGCCACTGGAACCTACAGGACACCTACTATAACAGGCCACCCTACAAAGCCTAGGAGACACAGCAACTCTACCTAATACATAGAAACAAACACAAGGAAGGCAGCCAAAATGAGGTGACAAAGAAACATATCCCAAATGACAGAACAGAACAAAACTCCAGGAAAAGAACTAAATGAAACAGAGATAAGCAATCTAACAGATGCAGAGTTCGAAACACTTCTTACAAGGATGCTCAAGGGGATGTGAGGGCGATCTGGCTGTGACATCTGTCACCCCACTGATCGCCAGGGTTGATTCGGCTGATCTGGCTGGCTAGGCAGGTGTCCCCCTTCTCCCTCAACCGATCCATGTTCGTCCCTCCCAAAGCTGCGCGCTTGGTTGAAGAGGACAACCTTCCCCCCAGAGGAGAGGACCGGTCTTCAGTCAAGGGTATATGAGTAGCTGCGCTCCCCTGCTAGAACCACCAAACAAGCTCTTAAGGATGCTCAAGGAACTTAGTGAGGACCTCAAGAGCATAAAAAGGGACCAATCAGAAAAGGGACCAATCAGAAAAGAAAGGTGCACAGTCAGAAATGAAGGAAGCACTTACTGAAATTAAGAATAATTTACAGGAAATCAATAGTAGAATAAGTGAAGCTAAGAAGCAAACCATCGATTTGGAATATAAGGAAGCAAAAACACCCAATCAGAACAACAAAAAGAAAAAAGAATCCAAAAAAATGAGGATAGTGTGAGGAGCCTCTCGGACAACTTCAAGCAGACCAACATTTGCATCATGGGGGTGCCGGAAGGAGAAGAGAGAGACCAAGAAATTGAAAACCTATTTGAAAAAATAATGACAGAAAACTTCCCTAACTTGGTGAAGGAAACAGACATACAAGTCCAAGAAGCACAGGGAGTCCAAAATAAGATGAACCCCAAGAGGCCCACACCAAGACACATCATCATCAAAATGCAAAAGGTTCAAGACAAAGGGAGAATCTTAAAAGCAGCAAGAGAAAAGCAGTTAGTTACCTACAAGGGAGCTCCCATAAGACCGTCAGCTGATTTCTCAAAAGAAACTTTGCAGGCCAGAAGGGAGTGGCAAAAAATATTCAGAGTGATGAAAAGCAAGAACCTACAACCAAGATTACTCTATCCTGCGAAGCTGTCATTTAGAATCGATGGCCATATAAAGAGTTTCTCAGACAAAAAAAAAAAGCTAAAGGAGTTCATCACCACCAAACCAGTATATGAAATGTTGAAGCGTCTTCTTGAAGATTAAAAATATGAACAATAAGATGGCAATAAAGACGTATCTATCAACAATTGAATCTACAATCAAAATAAACAAGCAAAACAGACTCATAGATACAGAGAACTTTTTTTTGGTTGCCAGATGGGAGGGGGTTTGGGAGGATGGGAGAAAAAAAGTGAAGGTCTTAAGAAGTATAAATTGGTTGCTAGACTGAGGAACCTCAAAGGGTAGGGGGCAGGGGTGGGAAGAGATAAACTAAAAAACTTATATGCATAACCAATAGACACTAACAATAGTGTGAAGAAGGCAGGAGGGATGCAGGAGAAGGGAGGAGGGGGTCAATGGGGGGGGAAAGAAAGGATATCTGCAATACATTCAACAACATTGATAAGTTTGTTTTAAAAAAGAAAAAAATGCAAAAGTTATCTTAAATTTAAGACTTAGAAAAAGAACAAGACACCATGAGGGGAGAAGAGGAGAGGCAGATTTGGAAAGAACAAAATAAAATTTCTTGTCCAGCATATGGTCAGGATTTCCAGGTGAAGAGAAAACAAGAATGGGGAAAAGGCCATAATGAAGCAAAAAGAGGTTGAAAAATTTCCAGAGTGTATGAAAACCAAAATGAGTCCTGCACAAGTAAAAGATGGTGAAAATGCAGAAATCAAACATAAAAAAATATTTTTAAAACAACTAAGGAGAAAATATATTACTAAAGAGACTAAGACTTCTCAACAGCAATAACAAAATGAGTCTGGAGAAATGGGACACCACCTTCAAAGTGCTGAAAGAACAAAACTTGTCAACCTAGAAATATAAGCAGTTACAGCATCATTCAAGAGCAATAGCAAAACAAAGAATTACTAATGAATGTAGTTATAGAAGATGGCAATTTAATACAGAGGAATGGGATACAAGAAGCAATGGTTAGTGAAGATATTTGTAAAAGCTAGGTAAATCTTGTCATGCGGATGGTAGAAAACCAAAATCATAATCATCAAATATTATGCAACAAATGCATGTAAGAAAGGAAGGGAATAATCAAAGTACAAGTATTCTATAGTCTCTACAGACCATGGGTTCTTTGGAGACATTTAGAAACCAATAAAGATACCCACGAACTTTAGACTCTTCACATGAATTATTAATAACTTAAGGATAAATAGTAAAAGATTAGGATGTTTAAATTCTGAGAAAATGTGAAAAAATATGTAAAAATATGTGTATGAATATATCTGAAATCACAATAAATGTAAACATAATGGCACAGAAAGGCTGAGAAGTAAAGATTTGGGGAAGTAAAAGGTTTGAGAGGTAAAGATATGCAAAGTAAAATTAGGCAAAGAAAGCTGGTGTGTAACTATATAAAAACATTAGATGAAATACAATGTAAGGCAAGATGCATCATTGGGGATAAATAAGGTCGCAATGTGACAACCTATTTACCAAGAAGATGTAACAACTCTGAAACCGTATGAACCAAATAATCAACCAAACTCCCATAGACTTTTGAGAGAAAAAAATGACATAAACACAACTATAACAGTAAAATGTCTAGGCATCAAAAGATAGGGGGGAAAAAAAAAAAGTAAAAAGAAGAGATAGACTGTTGGAATATTTTTCAATGCACAGTATTTAAAAAATATTACCATCCATAAAATACAACAGAATAGAAAAACTAGGCTATAAACTGGCAATACACAAAAGAATGTGAAAATATGCTTAGTTTTATGAGTAATGAAGAAACTATAAATAAAACCACAATAAAATATCATTTGACATCTATCCATTTGGCAAAAATTAGAAGTCTGACAATATCAAGTTTGACAAGGATGTGGAGCAACAGGATTTCTTACCCACTGAGGGAGAGTGAGTTAGCACCTCGATCACTTAGAGAACAATTGAGCAATACCAACTAAGGTTGAAGCCACACCTGTTATATATATATAAACCCCAGCACTGCCATTTTAGGAAGTGAGTTTACTGAAACTCAACTACATGCTCACAAGGAGTTGTGTACAACAATGTTAACTGCAACACTTGTGAAAGTGGAAGGTAAAAGGGAGGAAAAATAAAAATAAAAATAAAAAAAGGAAACTGTCCTTTAGTAGAACAGATATTATGCTTCAATCATATATATAACGGAATACTAAACAACAACGAAGATTAGCAAATTAGAATTATACATATCAACACTGATAAATCTTAAAAACAATGTTAAATGGCAAAAAAGCAGCAAAAACGCATACAGGGCATCAATTGTGTATATTTTTTAATAGATCTTGTTTATATATAGATATGCATGTAGTAAAAATATAAAAACATGCAAAGATAATAATACAACACAATTTTAGAATGATGATAGCAGTAGGAAAAGTGATAGATTAAAACTTTAGCATTATCTGTAATATTTTAAATCTTTTAAAAGATCTGAAGCAAATACAACAAAATGTCAACTGTTTAATCTTTGTGGTGGGTACACAAGCTTCTGTTATATTACTTTCTAGATGTCTGCATGTTTCATATATTAAAATATTTATTTAACATTAACTAACAAATAAACAAGTCTAGCTAATATTTACCATGTATTTTCCACTCGTTGAATACCCCAAAGATCTAAACCATCTTCAGTAAGAGTCCCAGTCTAAAAAAAGTACATATACAAAATATGAATAATGCCTCCAAAAACAAAATCATTTAAAGTTATGCTACATATACTCAATAGAGGACTATACAGCTGTAAACAAACAAAAGAAACAGTAAGATCTCTGTATACTGACAGAGAATAACTTCTAGGACAAATAGTTAAAGTAGGGGTATGGATCCTCTATGTATGAAAAAACCTAGTGTACATCTGTATATTTACAGGCTTATATTTCTAAAAACAAAAATGTGGAACAACACACTAATTAACTTATCAATCAATAAAGGATGCCGACATAGGAGAAAGAGATTAAGGCATAAAAAGGGAAAAAGTTAAATGACATCAGGGGAAGCAATCAGCCAAATCAAGGATGTAAATAACTGGTTTCTTCAACAAGATGAAAACAACTGTTACAGACTAATTGCAACCAATGCAGTTATTTGGACTCTGGCTGAAAAAACACACTGCAAAATTTTAGAACATTTTTTGAGAAAAGCAGGAAAATCTCAATATGAACTGGATATTACCTAATAATAAGAAATTGTTAATTTTGTGGAGTAAGCATTATAACAATATTGTGGTAATGTTTTTTTAAAAACATCTAGAGATATATACTGAGGCATATGGGTTGATATAATGTCTGATGCTGCCACCTTCAAAATGAGGGACTAGATGAAGTTTTAAAGCTGGCTACATGAGGGTTTATTACACTTGATCTTTCTGCACTTTTGTGTCTGCTTAAAAATTTTACAAGTGCCCAGCTGGTGTGGCTCAGTGGTTGAGGGTCGACCCATGCACCAAAAGGTCACTGGTTCAATTCCCAATCAGGGCACATGCCCAGGTTGTGGGCCAAATCCCCAGTGGGGGCATGCAGGAAGTGGCCAATCAATGTTCTCTGTTATTGATGTTATCTCTCCCTTTCTCTCTCTAAAAAGAAAAAGAAAAAAATGTTTACTAGTAATGTTTTCAAAAAAAAGCATAAGTGAAATTTTCTAAACAGATAAATATGAAATTTAGTCTTGGGATGTGATTTTTTTTAAGAGAGTATTTGTCTCCTTTGGCTGGTGAGCACATGATGCAATATACAGATGACATATTATAGAATTGTACACTTGAAATTTATATAACCTTATTAACCAATGTCACTCCAATAAATTTTACAAAAAGTAAAATAAAAATAAAATGTGAAAAAATATTGTCTCCCATTTTTTCCTTTAATAATAAAGATGCACAAAAATCAAATTCTTATATCAGTTACCTTAGTTTAATTCTCAAAATAAAACTTTTAGGAAAACTAATTTCAGTTAAGAAAAGGAGAACCTACTTTGAGAGGCAAGGTATACTTCACACAGGTACAAAACTTGTTATTTTCATACAAAAGAGAAAAATCAGTGACCTTCATTATTTTGAAACATATTCAATAAATCAGAGCCAACACTAAACATATATACAATAGTAATAAAATTCCAGCAAATATATTTGTTTGGAGCCTAGTCTGTTAAAAATATGAAAGATCAGAAAAGGCCTTTACTACTACTACTACAAGATATAATTCTGGATATGAATGATTAGATAACTGCAGATTTGGGCAAATAAGCAATATCCAAAATATTAAAAATTTTAAAAATAATGAGAATATACAAAAATGATACATATGCCAATTAAGTTGAAAAAGAGGAACATTAAAGAATGTGTACAAATTGGTTGCTAATGAATACAGAAAACATTAATCTAAGTATTTAAACCTACAAAGTAACCCTTGAGAATGATCATGAAACTCAACCAACCTTGTCAAAACAAACAAGATTCAGCTGTCCACATATATTTATCCTTTGGGGACTGATGCAGAAAATACCAATTTTTTTCAGTCTTCTTTGGGCATATACAATACCAGCAGTCATTGCAGCAGGAAGTGCAGGTGGCACAGTAATTGTAATGATATCAAGAGACTCGATAATTATTACTCCAACCTCTACCTATAATTCATACAAAAATAAGTGTCAGACATCCAACCCCCAAATTTACTAATCTAGTAAGGTTCTTTCTTTCTTTTAATTTTTTTGGTTAATCTGCACCCAAGGATATTATTTCATTATTTTGTATATGTGTGTGTTTTAAGTGAGAGGTGGAAAGGAGAGAAGGAGAGAGAGAAACCTTGATGTGATGAAAGAAACACATCAATTGGTTGCCTCCTGCATGACCCTGACCTGGGTCCAAGATCAAACTTGCAACCCAGGTACATGTCCTTGACCAGGATTCAAACCCTTCAATCCACAGGCAGACACTCTAACTGCTAGTGAAAAATCAATAAAGCATTTTCAATTTAATATATAATAAGTGTGTGTGTATAAATACATTTATTAGCCCTTCATAATCTTTTCCCTTCAGAGATTCTGCAAAATAGGAAGCTCAATAAGTTGTCAATGGACTATGAAATGACAGTTATTTTTAAAGAAAATTCTTATTTTAATAACTATACATACTTCACACACTACACACTTCGAAGTTCAACAAACATTTTTCAGATATTGACTCTTACTACAAGCACTGTACTGTATCAGTCTCTACAGGGAATAGAACAAAAATTCGACAAAGTCCGTTAGAAGTACCTCCAATTAAGTAATAGCAAATAATTTTATTTCTTTTAATCCTCACCCAAGGATATTTTTTTTCCATTTATCTTCAGATAGAGTGGGATGGAGGTAGGGAGAGCGAGAGTCAGAGAGAGAGAGAAACATTGATGGGAGAGAGACACATCGACTGGCTGCCTCGCACACAACCCCAACCAGGGCCAAACTGCAACTGAGGTACGTGTCCTTAGCCAGAATCAAACCATCAACTCTTTGGTTCACAGGCCAACACTGTAACCACAGAGCCAAACCAGCCAGGGCAGCAGCAAATAATTTTAATGCTGTGTGTCCCAGAAGTTAAAAAATGAGAAAATCGCCCTGGCCGGTTTGGCTCAGCGGATGGAACGTCGGCCTGCGGTCCAGAGAGACCCGGGTTCGGTTCCCGCTAAGGGCACGTACCTCGGTTGCAGTTTGTCCCCGGTCCTGGTTGGTCATGCCGGTGGCAGCCACTCGATGTGTCCCTTCACATCGATGTTTCTCTCTCTCTCTCTCTTCCTCCCGCTCTATCTGAACAAAAAAATGGAAAAATGTTCTCGGGTGAGGATAAAAAAAAAAAAAAGAGAGAGAAAATCAAGCTTCTGGTATGTGGCTGCCCCTCCTTTTGTTAAGTCACAAGAGAGAAGTGAAACACCATCTAATGCAAAGACATTCAAAAGAACTTCCTGCTATGGTGAAAATGTTCCGCATCTGTACTTTCAAATATAGTAGTTATTAGTCTCATATGACTTTTTAAAGTTATATTTACTTTACGTTAATAAAAATTTTAGTCCTGGCCAGTTTGTCTCAGCTGTTAGTGTCGGCCAGCAGACCAAGGAGACCCGGGTTTGGTTTCAGCCAAGGGCACATGCCTTGCTTGCGGTTCATCCCTGGCCCCGGCTGGGGTTGTGCAGGTGGCAACCAATTGATGTCTCTCTCTCTCTTTCTCTCTCTCTCTCCCCCCCCCCTCTCTTTCTCTCTCTCCCCCTCCCTCCCACTCTGTCTGAAGATAAATATAAAAATATCCTCGGGAGAGGATTAAAAATAAATAAACAAACAAACAAAATAAAAATTTTAGTTCTTCAGTCTCACTAGCCACTTTCAAATCCTCAGTAGTTACATGGATAATTAAAATTCAAACCCCACAAAGAGTCCCATGTACGTACCTCATTTAAAATGCTATTGATAATAGTGTAGATAAATCCGATGGCAGCTACTGCCACAAGACACAGAAGAAACAAGTAGGCATCTCTGTAGAGTTTAAAATCAGTTGGTTTGGGATACAATATGGAGCGAACAAGTTGTCCTTTGGAAGTACTAAATCCTTTTTAAAAATTTAAAGAAGAAAATTACTTATGTTTTTATTTAAAAAATGAGAATTCTCTCTCAAAACAGAATCTCTATTTACTTACGTATTTATGTATGTATGTAATGGCTTAGGAGTACAGCTTAGTGGTTAGGCAATCGTAATTTACATAGTGTTCCCCTTGATATTTCCAGTAACCCAAGTGGTTATCACAATATCAAAACAGAATCTCTTTTTAACCTTTTCAATAGGCATCAATTATGTAACTATTTAAGAGATTAAATGTTTTTTACCTGTTCTAACTACTATAGCCTTGACAAGTTCTCCAGTGTAGAAACGAGTCTGAATAACAGTAGTCCCACAAAACAAAGTGTGTCGTTTATGTATTTCTGGACTATATAATTCATCTCCCATTCCTTTTATGTCCACTGAAGGATTTGGCAAATTAGTCTTTGTCACTGGAACACTTTCTCCTTGAAAAAAATCATAAATTAAAGCAAAGAAATCAGTGCCAAACACTTACAATTTGAAGTATTAAACACCCTAAGTGTTATTATATTGTTTATAATAGGTATTAAAATGCAGTTATCATAATGGATAACATAACATTCAATTAGCTTTACGTCTACCAATTTCCTTGCCACAAAACATTAAATCTTGTCTCCCACAATAATTCCTAAAAGTGATTTGTGATTCAAAGATAATCATTTTGAAATGATTGGCAAGTTTCAAATGAGGAGACCAAGTAAGAGTTGCCTTAGCCTCAGCACCTGTTCTCTTCTCCCCTAAAAACTGAATTGGAAAGCACGCTGCAATCTCAACCACACAGAGATGTGAAGACCTACTCCTAACCCCCAGTAAACAGACAGAAACACACACACACACACACACACACACACACACACACAGAAGAGAAAAAGCATCTGGAGAAGGGAGAGAATAATAAGTAGTATGGTAGTTCTCTCAAACAATAATAAACGGCCAAAATCTTTTTAACACTGACATTTAATTCTGTGTAGCATCCACACTTCTCGCTTCAAAGCCAACAAGTGTGTGGGGATATTTACGTGTGTGCGTGTGTTTTAAGACAAGACTCTTAAGTTTGAAAACATTACATAGGAATCACTTTCTTGTCAGATTGACTATGACAATAAAAGAAAATTCACGTGAGCCCTAGTGGATTTGGCTCAGCTGTTAGAGCATCTGCTTGAGAACCAAAGGATACTGGGTTCAATTCCCAGTCAAGTGTACGTACCTGAGTTGTGGGTTCGATCCCCAGCCCTGGGTCATACGGGAGGCAACCAATCAATGTGTCTCTCTCCCTCCCTTCCTTCTTCCCACTGTATCTAAAAATCAATGTAAAAATATCCTCAGGTGAGGATTAACCAAAAAAAAAAATTCTTGTAAAGATATAAAGCTCTATCTTCAGACTGTGAATTTCCAAAAGGAAATCATTTTGAAGTCTACTGCTCCCCACTTTAAGAAAAATATAGTTTATTCCCACTTTTTACACATCAAATAGGGAAGTAAATATGCTGGATTCTCTGTAGGCTAAGGACTTCTTTCCTCTTCCCTTACTATAAAGAATTTATGTCCTCATGTCAAAAAGAGTAGCCAGGTGTATGCCTAGAAATGCGGTGATGACCAGCACAGTGATTTGGTATTGCAGCTGAGTATAATGCAGAATTTGGTCTCCTCAGAATAAAAATAAAAACAAAAAACACTTCAATATCCATGATAGTCATAACACTCATAAATAAAGGATACAAACGACGTAGCTAATTTTTAAATAGATTAATCAGTAACCACTTAATAATCCAGTATCATTATAAATAACTCATCTGATTTTTACACATTTTTTTTTAGTTTACCTGTTAACATGCTTTCATTTACAATGCAAGTACCATTAATAAGTACTGCATCACAAGGCATGACTGTCCCATTTAATGGAATGACCATAACATCTCCCGGCACAAGGTCTGTAGAAAAGATCTCTTCTCTTTCTGGATTTAAAGAAAGAGAAAGGGGCAAGGGGGAAAAGTCTGAGAAGAATATTCTTTAACTTAGAATAAACATAAACAAACAAAAGTTCACCTGATTTCAATGAGGTATTTAAAATATAATGGAGTTAAACAGGAAAATTCCAAAAAAACAAGATGTTTCAACAAATAAGATTGTTATTCCTTAGCAAAGCATGGTGTTTAAGGATGTTGGGTAGTTTGTCCCCTGAAAGGAAGCCAACTGTGCACAGGTGATGCCAGTCTTCTCTGACCAAACAGGTAGGTGGGCTTCAACACTCATTATAACACTCAATGATCAATTTTACCTAATAGCCCTCTTAAAAAATAGTAAGTCCTCATGAGAGCCCCTGCAATGGGTAAATAAACTTGGATTTCTATAATCCCTCAGAAACAGAAGAAAGCACTGAAAATTTTAGCATACTTTCTCTTTTAACAGCATTTTCTACAGCATTCATCTTCTCATTGCCACTGTTTATAACCTATAAAATCTCATTGCCTTCTCAATATTCTTAAAATAGTCCTAATACTACTTTTGATATTATTTTAAGTAAAATTATAAAATAAACATTGTGGTATTTTATCTATTTCATTATTTCCTTAGAAATTTGTATTTTATATCTAAGTTAGCTAAACACTTTTTAAAAAGATCTTCCCAAGTAAAAGGTCTTTCTTTAGGATTATCTTATATTTGGGCATTCTCTCTCACTCCCTAACTCTTTTTCCAACCTTGGTTTAATACTATGCTCAGAAGACAGTTACACTAGTATGTAAACAAAAATGGATAAGGAGAAAACTACAGTTTGTGACATTAGTGTGTAGGACAAACACTCTTTCCTTTGTAAAACAAACAAAAATCTAGTTTACTAAGCTGAGGAAAAAACTATTGAAGGATTCTAATGATATTTAGGACATAGTAAGCATAATCTTCATTTGTAAATAAGATACCTATTTTTAAAACTGTTAACAACACTTGAACTTCAACTCCTCTTAGGTCTACCAGGAAGCAAAATAGCAATGATCTGTCAGACTATACAAAGGGGACAGGGTGATGTAAGTTGAATGGTACATATGTCCTAGCATTCCCAGTATCTTCAGCAGCAGCAGCAGCAGCAGCAGAGCAGGAAGAGGAAGAGCACCAATAAGTTGACCCATCTAAGATTGCAGCCAGGGGAGGCAGACAGATACTCCCAATTAAAATAGCAAGTGACCAGGAAGTACAGGGAAGGAAGTAACCTGCTAGGCCAGACTGTTTACACTTGGATGTGGTGTACTGAGCCAAGAAAATGGAGACCGATTTGGTGTTCCTGATAAATGTAAGTGGTTATTGTCCCCAAGGCCCATGATGCTGTGCTACCTCCTCCATATCTCCTTTACCTCAATTTCTCACCAAACTAACATGTCCAAAACACTATCCTTCCCTACAATTCTGCTTCTCCTTCTATTTAATTAAATGGTACCAACAACCACCCCCCCAGCATGACATCACTCTATGACCTTGCATCTAACGAATCATAAAATCCTGGTCGATGCTAACATTTAAATAGCTTTCAAACCCCTATCATTTCTCTCCACTTCCACAACTTCCACCTTGATCCATTTCATGCCTTCGATATTATTCCCCTCTAAACCAGTGTGAACAAGGCAGCCAGAATAATTTTTTCCAAAAAGGCAAATAATGATCAGATCACTTCCCTGCTTAAAACCCTGAAATAGCTTTCCATTGTTTTGGAATAAGACAAAATTCCTTAACATGTCTTAAAAGGCTGTCCCTCATCTACTTTCCACATCTACCATACTGAATTCTTTCATTTATTACAATGACTAAACTCCAGGCCTGGGCACTTAGAACCCTCTTCCTCTCCCTCACTCATCCCCACCATACCATCTTCTCACCTACCTCTTATCTAATTCAACCACTTCAAAAATACATTTTTCAATGCTCTCTTTCTAATATCTAATAAGCTCCTTGCATTTGTCACACTTTATTTTCACTGTTTATCATCTATCTTTCCAATTAGTCTAAAATTCAATGATGGTGAAGACCATGTCCATCTTGGTAATCACTGCATCCCCAGAAACTATCACAGTACCTGTTACACTATAGAAAAAGAAAAATACAATTTTATTTATTTATTTATTTATTTTTTTATGGTATGTGCCCCTGGCGGGAATCGAACCCAGGACTCTCTGGTCCGCAGGCCGATGCTTAACCGCTGAGCCAAACTGGCCAGGGCACAGAAAAATACAATTTTCCATAAATGAATTAATTTGACACAAATTCAGATGAGTACAAATTCAAAAATGTATTTATATCTTAAGAAATGAATGTGTGTGTAGAGAGAGAGATCACATAGGCTTGCTTCATATATTAGTGCTTAATGGAAATTTTTTTTGATTTATTTTTATCAATAGTCACCAGAAGTTCTTACCTTCATTTACTCTGCAAACTGAAACTCTCACAGTACTGTGAGCTGCCACCATGTCATGCAACATAATATATTGCTGAAATAAGAAAAAAAAAATCAAAACTAGCTAATATAAACCCACTCTTCAAGATATTAAAAAGTGAGGGTGCTATAAAATAAAGTTAATGCAATAAATGTTTATAACTCTACCTTTAAAAATGTCAAGACTAAAAGATTAAAAAATTATTCAACGTTTTAGCTAAAAACAAAATAAAAAGCACTTTATCCCTGAAAAAAGTAGACCCAGTATTCCAGGCTGTGGTAAGCAACTATAGGTCCCTATGGCCTCTAAGTAGTCGAGTGATAATCTGACTCTAAAACCATCTGCCTTCCCCACCTCAAAAAAAAAAAAAAAAAGTACATATTTATATAACTAAAAGAAAATCTGTATTGCATATTACTTTGTACCAAGTATTATTCTATGCACCTTACAAAATACAAATACAGTTGTGAAATCCATAATAAATTGGACTTACCTTTTTAATGGAATATAGGGAGCTTAGAATTGATACTACAGACATAATCACAATAGCTAGAGCATAGTAATAGTATTCATCAGTGCACCACAGTATAACACTGAACAGTTGGAAAATGTAAAATGGGTTGAGAACCTAAAAAAACAAGATTTTTAAGTCAAATTGAATGAGATATTTATAACCATACAAATTTTCTACCTTTTCATTTAAGAAGTAACCAACAAGATACATACAGGATAAGCTCTGTGGTACCCTAGGGTGACATGTACCACCCAAAGATAAGGGCAAGACACTAACATATTACTTTTATTTATTTATTGTCATTAAATAACTGAAATTTGGCTAAATAAGCTTAATTTAAATTATGTACATATATTTGACTCATACCAAACCTAGAAACAGCTACAATGTGTGAATTTAGCTGTTTCTCCATTCTGCCTTAGCAATAAAGTACGTTTACTTACAATAAATACTGACCTATTAAAAGATACAAAACTTTTAATCAATTGGAACAAATGGTGACTTTTTATGAACTCTAAATATAATGTATTTATAAGTCAAAGGTTCACTGCTCTCCAATGGAAAGGCAAATATGAGATAATAAGTTATATTGCTTTGCTTTCACTCAGGAAACAATTAAGGATTAAAACCTGAATGAAAAAGAGATAAAAGAGCCCTGCAATGGACTTCATTTACCCAAATTTCATAGTATGTTATCAATTTCATTAACAGCACCTCAAAATCTTAAAATTGATGCTTCCATACTTTTCAAGGCACTTCACATAGATAGTCCCATTTAACTTCCACATTGAATAAGATCATCAGAAAGGACTTACTCCACTTTTATAAATAAAGGAGCAGCAAAAAGAAAGATTTTCTGATGATCAAAGTTAGTTACTGATGGAACCATTATTACAAACCAGGCTTTCTAATTCCTAATCATTATACTTTGCTATGTTCTAGGAAGCAACATTATATGGTCACTCTCAGGAACTGATGAAAAACAATCTGTTATTTCTACTAAAAGTATTCACCCAATACAGCTAGTTTGATCTTAAGCAAAAAGTTAAAATACAGATGGGAGAGCCTAACTCTGCTAGGCAATATCACTTATTGCCTTCCTTTACATGCACAACCTTTATTCATACCTCTTCTATAGCACTTACAACTGAACAGTCACTACAATAACTATTGACATGTTTTCCTCCCACGCCAAAGTGAAAATTCCTTGATATGATCATCAGGTCATGTTCTGTATTCCAAACTTCTGGAACAATGCCTACTTTCTAATAATGTACCACAAAATGTCACGTGAATAAATAAAACATGATAAACTGTTTAAAATTCAGAAAACAAAAGACAGGAGTATACACTTATAAGACAGGGCAAGACTTAGATGTGTAACTTCCCGGGGGGTTATTTTATTTTATTTTTTTACCTTCCACGTGGAAAAAAAAGAAAACAACAAAAAATAAAAGAAAACAGAAAACTAAGAATGTCTCATGACTTAAATCATGGCTCTTTTATAATTTTTTAATATGTTTTTTATTTTTAGAGAGGAAGAGAGAGATAGCAACATTAATGTGAGAGAGAAACATCGATTGTCGCCTCCTACATACCCCGCAACCAGGAATCAAACCTGAAACCTGGGCATGTGCCCTGACCAAGAATCAAACTGGGACCTCTTAGTCCATGGAATGACTCTCAATACACTAAGCCATACCAGCCAGGCAAATCAAGGCTGTTTAATAAAGATAATTTTTTTAAAACGTTTTTGTTTCTTTATTGATTTTAGAGAGAGGGGAATGGAGAGGGAGAGATGGACAGAAACACTGATGAGAGGGAATATCAATTGGCTGCCTCCTGCATGTCCCCCAGTGAGGAATTGGCCCACAACCTGGGCATGTGCCCTGACCGGGAATCAAACTGGTGACCTTTTGGTGCATGGGTCGATGCTCAACCAGTGAGCCACACCGGCCAGGCAAATCAAGACTCTTTTAAATTAACAAATCAATCAATCACAAATTTTGTACAATAGTCTTACCTCCTTAATTAGAAGCTTAAGAACAGAAGGCACTTTCACAGATATTTCATTTACTCCATAAAGCAATTTTCTGTGACAAGAAAATATAATAATAGTGTTATACAGTATATTACATAACTATAATTTTGTGAAGGTATTTCATTACATCAGGCTCAAACCATACACTGCTCCTAAATCTAGAACTTAAACATTCATGTTTCTAGATACTTGTCTTCTACAATTCAAATTCTCTACCTATAGTATTTAAATCAAAGTAGCCAATACTGGATATCAGTATACTGGATATACTGTTATCATTTTGTTTTATTCTATCTCATATTTTTTTGTGTGCCAAGTATCTTTCCCACTAGTCTATAATAATTGTGTCAGCAAAGGCTTTCTTTTCCATTTTTGGAACACAAGAGTCTCAACAATTTTGAATTGCAATTAATTTTTGCAAAAGACTAAACAAATAAATATGAGTGACCCGGCACTATTTTCCTAATAAGAATACTGTACTAAGAATGTTTATTTCAAAACACTGTACATTTGACATTTTTTAAAAATACTTAAGAAAAGTTGCTTAAATCCTTCTGCTTAAATTCCCTATAACAGTATGTAATTCCTGCCTCTTAAGAAGTATAAGTCTAAAGGAATAAACTCTCATATTCGAACACTTAGAAGAAAAACATGCTACAGGCATATAATAAAATTTCTAATTTATTTTGAAAATGGCATTTATCTTTAAAATACACAATACACCAAATATATTTTTATACTTTAGCAGAGAATAACATGATAAAAAAGATTACGTCTCTCAATTTACAAATTTTCACTATGGTAAATCTGAGCTCATGCTTATAATTCCTAATATATAGCAGTAAAATTTAAGATGCTATCAATTATAAGATATAGCAATTATTTTGAATATCATCAAAAAGTATAAAGGATGATGCTCCATCCACTGCATGACACATCCCCCTTTTAGAAATGTTAAAATGTGGGGAAATGTGTACCTTAGAATTGGTGAAATATGGTATATTTTCAGGGGTATCAACTTCAAAATATCAGCTTCAACATTTTTATAATTCTTAAACTGAGAGACAGCCTTACCCAATAAAACATCAATAAGCTATCAACTACTATGTCTATAATATTTAAATATTTGTAATCTGTACAACTATATGGTAAAAAGGTGGACTATATATAGTACTGTATTTAGAAATTCTGTAATAGATCTGACTATAGTTGGATAAAAATTACCTGTAGGCATGCATCCCCTTTGTCAGTCCTGCACTATGCTTTTCATAAATTGACGTACAAGAAACACCTTCATCCAGTCCCCTAAATAAATCCAAAGTTTTTACTTTAAACAAAGTTTAAAATATCCAAATGTCTCAATGCCTCATTTTTCTATATTCTGACTTTAAAGTGTGACTTCCTTCCAAATAGAAATCCTTGACACAAAATGAGATAATGAATGAGAATTTTAAAATCTCAAATTCCTAAGATAAACAATAATGAAAGGTGTGTTTTAAAAGTGGCAACTTGTAAGTTATACAATGTATCTATCACATGATAAGATGGCTCTATATAATCAAGTTTATATAATAATATTATTATCCTTTAAGGCTGTGTGCCAAAGCTGTAGGAGCTAATAATTAAACTAATAAAATTAAAGGTAAAGTAGGACCAGTTTAAGAATTCCAAATTTAAAATTTGAAAAGTTTTCCTTTTTATTTAGTTTCCCCTGCTTCAATTTTTTAAGCATCACACTAAGAAATCCTATTCATTATTTTCTTTCCACAAAAGCATCAACCAAAATCTTTCCCTCATTCAATACATAGAGTACAGAATTTATATGAGTCACAGGCAATGTCTAAAATCTGTAACAATACTAACTAGGATTCAATTAACCTATCTACTTTGCCCCAAAAATGTCTTAATTATGCTGAGATATTAGTTTTAACTGAGATACTAGTCATAGAACTCTAAAGAGAATCCTACACATCGTTTAACTCCAATCCTTTTCACTTTTTTCAGGTAGGGAAATTAAGCTCCATAAGTAACTATTATCACTGGTATAAGCTTAAACTCTACAAGTTTCTATGGTTGGCAAAAGCTGCACATTAATATGTTCGACATTTTTCCCCACTGAAGTTGATGACTCCTCCAAAGGCAGCAGGGATCCACTCCAAGCCAGTTTTTTATTAAATTTTTTTTTTTTTAATCCTCACCCAAGGACATTTTCCCATTTTTTTGTTCAGGTAGAGCGGGAGAGAGAGAGAGGAACAGAGAGAGAGAGAAACATCGATGTGAAAGGAACACATCGAGTGGCTGCCACCCGCACGACCGACCAGGGCCGGGGACAAACTGCAACCGAGGTACGCGCCCTTAGCGGGAACCGAACCCGGGTCTCTCAGGACCGCAGGCCGACGCTCTAACCGCTGAGCCAAACCGGCCAGGGCCCAAGCCAGTTTTTTAGAAACCAAAATGGCAGCTCACTGGCAGTATTCTAATTTTTTCTTTTTTTTGCTTAATCCTCACCCAAGGGTACTTTTCCATTGATTTTTAGGTAGAGTGGAAAGGGGAGGGGGAGTGGAGAGAAAGAAAGTAGGGGAGGGGGGACACACACATGGATGTGAGAGAAACACATAGATTGGTTGCCTCCTGCATGACCTCGACCAGGGCCAGGGATCAAACCTGCAACCTAGGTACGTGTCCTTGACCAGGAATTGAACCCGAGACCCTTCTGTCCATGGGCTGATGCTCTAACCACTGAGCCAAACCAGCCAGGGCTCATTGGCAGTATTCTGTAAGGCAATGGTTCTTAACTAGGAATGGTCTTCAGAACAAGCATGTGGAAATGCCCTGGTCCATTCCACAATATTCCAATTCTTTAGGGGGGGGGGGTGTCCAGGCATGAATATTTTAAATGTTCATAAGATGATTCTTTTGGATTGCTAATATTAAGAATTTCTTTAGCACTCTTAAGCAATGATACTTGAGTGTTTATAATAATCACTTTAATAAAAATAGAATCCTAATTAATTTAGTACTTATATAACTTGAAGCCTCCACAAAAATAAATTTTAAGAGATTATTTCAATTTGTCCTACCCAAGGATTAACATATTTGACTATGTCCAATCTTTATCCACAGAGTAAAGTTAAATGTCTCTGTATCTATCTCTTCAAGCTTCAATTACAAGTGGGTGAAACTATGAGCAGATTGGGAGGTGACAGTTCAGACAGGTATACTCAAAGTTCACCTTGATGAACCCTCAAAAAGAAAAGAACTCAGCCCTGGCCGGTTTGCCTCAGCAGTTAGAGCATCGGCCTGCGGACCAGAGAGTCCTGGGTTCGGTTCCTGCTAAGGGCACATACCTTGGTTGTAGTTTGTCCCCGGTCCCAGTTGGGATTGTGTGGGTGGCAACCACTGGATGTGTCTCTCTCATCAATGTTTCTCTCTCTGTCCTCCTCCCTCCCGCTCTATCTGAAGATAAACACAAAAGTGTCCTCAGGTGAGGATTTAAAAAAAAAAAGAAAAAGAAAAGAACTCAGACTCAGTGAATTTTATGATCCTACTACTTCTAACTTTTATGTAAATTTTGCCAAGACACTAGTTGCCAGTGAGATTTATTCTAAAATGGTTAATTAGTATTCAAACAACACTGGGAGTTGCTAATGAATAAGCAAACAAAAGTTCTATAACAAAAACCTGTTAAATTTTATGTAACACTAGAATGAATTCTTTTCTATCTAAAATATTTTCAATATATTCATAATACAATCCAAACAAAAGAAAATTACTTACCTTAAGAAATCAAAATTGTGAAGGGTATCATTCCAGAAATATTTTACACTATGGTGGGTGAAATAACGAATCTGTAGAACACATGTAAGTGTTACATCAAAAAGCATTATCATCACTTGTTATCAATTAAGTTTACTAACACAAATCTATCATATAACAACATATTAAAATTAAAGTGGTCACGTGACATGTAATCTGTTTCTTCTAGCAATATCTAAATTGTTATAGTGACAAATGGGTACTTTATATGCATATAAATTTATCTCAAAAATAACTGCAAGCACAAAATTATAGACTATCTATGATAGCATAAAATGTAACAATTCTGATTTTTAAAGAAACTTTGAAACTAAGATCACAGTACCTGTTCTGGTTGCGTCTGTGAATATTTACTTATCTCAAGACCGTTCTCTTCAGCCAGATTTTCAGTTAAAAGAACAGCATGGCCATTTGAAACCTTATCAGCCACAGATTTTGGACTCAAAAATGGATGAGTTTTCAGAGAAAGCAAGCGAATTTTTGCACAAAACCACATTCTGAATTCATCCTTATAAGAGAGAAAGGCAAAGAATAAATTATGTATATTATACAACTGCCTATATTTTTGATTTCCATTCTTTACATTATATTATTTACTCATTTCTAATTGAGAAAGCACCACTTCCTACTCACTAAATGTTAAACCATTTCGTAAAGACACATAAACTCAAACATGCAGTGCTTTCCACTGCTCACCCTTTAAATGACATACTTTACTAACACAATATCCCATAAAAGTTCATGAGTAATTTCTTAATTTACCCATCAATATACTGAGACTAGAAATCAAAGTGTCTTATAAAATGCTTCCAATTATAATAATTAAAAAAAACAAAAACAAACAAAAAAAAACCACAAAACCCTGGGATGTAGCAGCATCACATAGTAGAGGCAGCTGGTCTGGTGACTGAGAGATCTAAGATATAGTCCTAACTGTTCAGTGATTTAACAGACAAGCATCTAATCTTTCAGTGCTCAAGAGCCTAAAAGGAAGGGGTGGATTTGATCATTCTGTAAGATTCCTTATACCCTAATTGCTCTGATAATGTTCACTTCAAATACAGATGCTTCAGAAATACTAGGATTAGTAGTCCTCATTACATTGTAGTGGTGATGTTCTCTTCATATATTATTTAGAACAAAGTACATACGAAGACATTCTTTTACTTCTCAAATAATCAGCTACAAGTAAATCCATGGACTTACAGTAGTCCTCAGCAACACCACTTCACAGTCTTTAATTGCAGCTCTAATACAGGTCGCCTTCACCCGCCACTCAGGCATCCAATAGAGGAGGAGGAGGAGAAAGCCACCAGTGCAAACCACTCCTACAGAAACTATGGCAAGCTTCCAGCGACACAAATTATAGCCATAAATCTCCTGTATAGACAAGTAATCATAATTAATCATCAAATGATTTTTTAAAATCCTCAAATTTGAAAGATAAAGTCCAAAGTTCTTTGTTTTCCAGATGGTTATTATTGTCTTGTCAGATAAACTGCAAACCCCTAATTTATCTTTAAATTTTGTTTCTGACAAGTTCATTGTCAAAGGTATACTTTTAAGTGGCTAAATCTGTTGATATTTACACATAATATCTGTTGATATTATGGTTCTACATTTGATATTATCCTTAGTAACATAACACTTTCCCACTGACATTGTATATTCACATTTAGTATACTTTCCTAGAACTTTTATAATTCCATTTTTACATTTTTTTTTAAATTCTTCTAGAACTTGTCTTGTTGTAAGGTAGATCTTTTTAAATAAACTTTTAAATTTGAAATAATTTCTGATTTGCTGGAAAGTTACAAAAATATTAAGAATTGCTATATACTCTTTGTTCAGTTTCCCCTAATATTAACACCTTGGTACATTTGTCAAAATCGAAAAGATTAACACTGTTCACTATTATTAAGTAAATCTCATCTTTATGAGGATTTCACCAGTTCTTTCAGTGTTTTATTTTTGTTTCAGGATTTAATCCAGAATATCATGTTGCATTTAGACGAGATCGGTTTTAACTTTTTTTCCCCCAAATCATTAACTAATTGTCCCAATACCACTATGACTGATCAGTCTGACCTCCTGACCCAAATTATTTCAATTGTTTCAGTTACCAGCACCCCACCCTAACAAGGGCTGCCAAATTTAGCAAATGAAAATACAGAGGGCCTAGGTAAATTTAAATTCCAGATAAAAAAATTAATAATTTTTGTTGTTGTTGCCCTCTGCAATATTTTGGACAGGCTTATACTAAAAATGTATTCTTTGATTATCTGAAATCGATACTAACATCTAACAGGGAGTCTTATACAGGGTGGGGCAAAAGCAGATTTACAGTTATGAGTATGTGAGTTTATTCTTGTCGTATTCTTTATTGTATTATTTTCCATAAGAACAACTGTAAACCTACTTTTATCCTAACCTATACTTTACCTGACAACTCTATCTCCCCTCAACACACACAAAAAAGAGTTGAGAAGTTTTTTTTATTAAACTGATTTAAAATTTTTCCATAAATAAAAATTAGAAATCTTGTATTTGGGTTTATATTTAAACATTAGCTAACATAACTTCTCAAATTACCTAATAAAAAAACATATCTCTTTCCTCTAAGTTTTAACAGTTCACAAGTGAAACAGGAATTATTCTAAAACAAATAGAAATATTACATAATCTCAATTCAAAAACACAGTCAGGATGAGGAAAGCACATCGACTTTATGGGTTTTTGTAAATTTACTTTTTAATTCCCTAGAATAATAAATTGCACAGATAAATTCTTCACACTTTATAAGTAAATTATAAATACTGGTTACCATTTCATCTTCTTGACCCTGGTTGATAGTCTTCCTTTCTTCTTTGTCCATATCTACAGTGATTTGCTTCACAACAGTTGAAGACAACTGAGAAATGAGAGAGGAACAAATGTTAGGGAGTTATTATCTACCTTATTAGACTACATAACTTCGTATTATCACATTTCTTGTTGTGATATATGTATCAAAGTTTAACTGGTATTTGATCACTTAAGTGCTAAGAGCTGGTTCTAATGACATTTTCAATGGTGTGCCAGTTCTTGCACCTGCATTACTTAACTATCACAAAACTTGGCATATTCCATTAATAAATTTATACTAGCAACAGCCTTGCTACAAAACAATTTAAATTCTGGAAGAAACTACTACAGAATCTTCTGTTTTCATTCTCCAGACTCAGAGAAGTAACCTAGATGTGCTGTAAAATGCTTCACACTACTCAATTTATTGCTTAAAGTATAGTGAAGAGGTTAAGCACCAGCAGTGAAACCACCCCGAAACCTCTCAGGGATTAAAGTATCATCCTTCATCGTTTTATGAGGCCAGCATAATTCTAATTCCAAAACCAGAAAAAGACACTATTAAGAAAGAAAACTACAGGACAACATCCCTGATGAACACAGACACCAAAATCCTGAACAAAATACTAGCAAATCGGATCCAGCAAAACATCAAAAAAATTTTTCACCATGACCAAGTGGGATTCATCCCAAGGATGCAAGGCTGGTACAATATTTGCAAATCAATAAATGTGTTACACCACATAAACAAAATGAAGAATAAAAACCACATGATCGTATCAATAGATGCTGAAAAAGCATTCAACAAAATCCAGCATCCATTTGATAAAAACGCTCAGCAATGTGGGAATAGAGGGATCATATCTCGACATAATAAAGGCCATATATGAAAGACCTACAGCCAACATCATACTCAATGGGCAGAAACTAAAAAGATTTCCCTTAAGAACAGGAACAAGATAGGGATGCCCACTTTCGCCACTCTTATTTAACATAGTACTAGAAGTCTTAGCCACAGCAATCAGACAGGAAGAAAAAATAAAAGGGATCCAAATTGGAAAGGAGGAAGTGAAATTGTCATTATTTGCAGATGACATGATACTATACATAGAAAACCCCAAAGACTCCATCAAAAGTTTACTGGATTTAATAAATGAATTTGGCAAAGTAGCAGGATACAAAATTAACGTCAAGAAATCGATGGCATTCTTATACACCAATGATGAACTCACAGAAAGAGAAACTAAGAAAACAATTCCATTTACCATTGCGGAAAAAAAATTAAGATACCTAGGAATAAACTTAACTAAAGAAGTAAAGGACCTATTTGCAGAAAACTACAGGTCACTGAGAAAAGAAATAGAGTAAGATATAAAAAAGTGGAAGCACATACCTTGTTCATGGATTGGAAGAATTCACATCATTAAAATATTCACATTACCCAAAGCAATCTATAGATTCAATGCAATCCCCATCAAAATACAAACAACATATTTCACAGAACTAGAACAAATACTTCAAAAGTTCATTATGGAACCAAAAAAAACCCTGAAGAGCCACAGCAATCTGGAAAAAGAAGGACAAAGTAGGTGGGATCACAATACCAGATATCAGGTTATACTACAAAGCTATTGTAACCAAAACAGCCTGGTACTGGCAAAAGAACAGGCATACAGACCAATGGAACAGAACTGAGAACCCAGAAATGGACCCAAGACATTATGCTCAATTAATATTTGACAAAGGTGGCAAGATATACAATTAAGTAAAGACAGCCTCTTTAATAAATGGTGTTGGAAAAATTGGACAGCTGCATGCAAAAAAATGAAACTAGACCATCAACTTACACCATACACAAAAATAAACTCAAAATGGAAGAAACATTTAAAAGTGACCCATGAATCCATAAAAATTCTGGAAGAAAATGTAGGCAACAAAATTTTGGACATCATATGCAGCAGAATTTTCACTGATACATCACCTAAGGCAACAGAAACAAAGGAAAAAATGAACACATGGGACTACATCAAACTAAAAAGCTTCTGCACAGCAAAAGAAATAACCATCAAAATGGAAAGGCAACCCACTGTATGGGAGAGCATCACTGCCAAAGATACAGCAGACAGGGGTTCATTTCCAAAATATATACTCATACAACTCAACAAAAGGAAGACAAAGAATCCAGTTAAAAAATGGGCAGAGGACCTAAAGAGACACCTCTCTAAACAGGACATACAAATGGCTAAGAGACATATGAAGAAATATTCAACATCACTAATCATCAGAGAGACGCAAATTAAAACAACGAGGTATCACCTCACACCTGTCAGAATGGCCGCCATCAACAAATCATCAAACAAGTGTTGGCGAGGGTGTGGAGAAAAGGGGACTCTAGTACACTGCTGGTGGGAATGCAGACTGGTACAGCCGCTATGGAAAACAATATGGTGTTACCTCAAAAAATTAAAAATTGAACTGCCATTTGACCCAGTGATCCCACTTCTAGGAATATACCCTAAGAAGCCTGTAACACCAGTCAGAAAGAATATATGTACCCCCATGTTTGTAGCAGCACTATTTACAATAGCTAAGATCTGGAAACAGCCCAAATTTCCATCAGTAGACAAATGGATAAAAAAGCTGTGGTACTTATACACAATGGAGTACTATGCAGCTGTAAGAAAGAAAGATCTCTTATCCTTTAAGATGACATGGAGGGACCTGGAAAGTATTGTCCTAAGTGAAATAAGCCAAGCAGAAAAAGATAAATACCACATGATCTCACTTATTTGTGGAATATAATGAACATAACAGTCTGAGGAATAGGGCAGACCCAGAAACATGGAAGTAGGGAACAGACTGACATCCCTCAGAAGAGGGGGTGGTGGGGGGAAGAAAGAGATAAACCACAGAATTTATATGCATGCACACATAACCAATGGACATGGACAACAAAGCTGAGGACGGGGTGGGGGAGATGGGGAGGAAGGTGTCAATGGGGTAAAAAAGGAGAAACATCTGTAACAAAAATAAAATAAAATAAATAATAATTTAAAAAAATAATAATAAAATAAATTATCATCCTTCAAATATTTACTGAGTGAGCATCTATTACATGAATGACATTCCCTGGCCATGAGTCACTCCGTGTGGCAGGTATAGCATTATTGAAGGTAACTGCTTTCCCCATTCTGATTCCAAGTCCACTAAGCAATCTTATAATTGTTTCTGACTGCTCATGATGATGCTTGTCTAGGAGAAAATTCACTGAGCTCATCAACACAGTTCTTTTTCCTGTATTTTAAAAAAATTAGATTAATTTCAAACAGACATTTAGCCACACATTAAAGAGATTTGCAAATTGTAAACAATGCCTATTTTCTCATAATTTTTTTTGTTTGTTTTGGCAAACAGATATTTTTCAGAAAAATGCTACTTAATATGTCATAAATTGCCTTCACCTGTGTGGCTCAGAGCATCAGCCCATGCACCAAAGTTTTGTGGATTTGATTCCTGGTCAAGGGTTCCATCCCCAACCCCAGTCAAGACACATGCAGGAGGCAACCAATCAATGTGTCTCTCTAAAAGTTTTCTTCTCTCTCTCTCCCACACCTCCCACTCTGTCTGAAGATAAATGTAAAAATATCCTCGGGTCCACCCGGCCAGTGTAGATCAGTGGTTGAGCATCTACCCATGCACCAAGAGGTCGCCAGTTCGATTCTTGGTCAGGGCACATGCCCAGGTTGTGGGCCTGATCCCCAGTGTGGGGCATGCAGGATGTGGCCAATTGATGTTCTCTCTCATCAATGTTTCTCTCTCTCTCTCTCCCTCTCCCTTCCTCTCTCTAAAATCAATAAAGAAAAAAATTTTTTTAATATCCTCGGGTGAAGATTAACAAAAAAAGTAATAAATGTATTACTGTTATGTCTTATCCAACTAGTATTCTCAAAGATATATCAGTTTTAACTAACATGGTATCAACAGATAAAATGCACATAAACAAAAGATTTTTAGAGTCCACAATAAACTTTCAAGGTTGGTAGTCTGAGCCCAAAGGATTTGAGAGCCACTGCTTTAGACTAGGCTGATCTCTGCAGAACAGTGGTAGGTAATATAATCACCTTCATTCCAGATGCCATACTTCTAACTCATCTAGCCAGTGTGCAGCATAGGCCCGACAAATGGTAAGCACTCAAAAAAACTTGAGTGAACAATACTTGCTGTGCTAAGAGAGCAATAGCTGTTTAATGTTTATATGACATGAATTAATAGCCAAGTAAAACCAACTGTAGGATTTTAAACTAATCCCATATGTAAGACTACTGAAATCTCAGCAAAATGACCAATGAAAATATTGATGCTTCCTATACCAACACCCAACATTTATCTGTCTACCTTCTGGTAGCCCTGGAGATGGGGGTCAGGGCTAAGTAGAGCCAGTAAAGCCAGGGCTTTCTATAGATATAAAATGCAGCAGATTTAAGATAGATGATAGATTTAGGGGTAGGGGTCAGGGTCGGGGTCGGGGTAGGGATAGACAGACCAACCAGGTAGGTAGGTAGGTAGGTAGACAGACAGACAGACAGACAGACAGATAGATATGACTTAGTGCCATCTTGAAAAAGAAACTTTACAGGTATCTGGTCCAATTTCTCCAAAATAAGCCATGTTATCACACAAAACCCTTTAGGAAATTTAGTAACAATTTCTATTTAGTGTAGGGTAGTGTTACAGCCCTGAAACATGTTACTACCATGTGAAGAATGATCCATCAAATCAGTATGACTCGAGGAGGCAGTTCTTCTCAAGGGCCTGCTGCAATGAGCTATGGGGAGAATGAACAAACCCAACCTCTTCTCTGTAGAAAAGATCAGCAGTTGATACCTGAATGTGTAAGGGACAGCCCTACCCTGCAAGATTTAAATGTGCACATGCCTGCTTTCAAAGGGTAACACAAAGGCACTCTGCCCTGATGCTGTTCCCACAAAAAAATACCAGTCTCGGGTTCTTAACCATTATAATGTCTGTGGTTCTTCCATATGTCTGGACTGAATCTCAGGATCATCACTCAAAATTCATCAAACTCTTTTTTTTTTTTTTTAATTTTTTTCTTTATTGATTTTTAGACAGAAAGGAAGGGAGAAGGAGAGAGAGAGAGAAACATCCATGAGAGAGCACATTGATTGGCCGCCTCCTGCATGCCCCCCCCCTGAGGATCGGGCCCACAACCTGGGCATGTGCCCTGACCAGGAATCGAACCGGTGACATCTTGGTGCATGGGTCAATGCTCAACCACTGAGCCACACCGGCTGGGCTCAAACTCATTTTTTATAATTAATTACATATAATTCTGATCCCCATTTCCCATCACCACCATTTAAAATATGTTTCCTGAGGATAGAACCTATTTTAAATTCTTATGTGTATGTCGAGACTTCTACTTCCAACCAAGGTGGAAAGACAGGGACCAATCTGCCCTCCTGCCTAAAACAACAATAAAATGGACAAAATATATAAAACAAGTTATCAAGAAACTGGACATGAGGCAATGAAGGAGACTGGTACAGAGATAGGGAGCAAACTAGATGAGCTTCACAATTATCCCAGTTTACAAAGTAAAGAGTCTACAGGCTGCAAAAAAGGGAGGGCAGGGAACCCAAGAGGAGTAGGGCAGTCCCCCTGAGTTGGGGAGATGAAGCTGGGTGTATGTGGGGGCACCAAAGTGACCAGGTTTGATAGGAAGATTGCCAGAGGAGAGATCTATACAGAGAAAGAACACTCAAAACCTGCAAGATGATCCTCTCAAGTCTTCCACTGAGTACTAATCAGTGCTTATGTGTGAGGAAAGTACCAGAAACTAGGAAAAGAATCACCCAAAAGGATTAAGGGGAAAAAATCATCAGAGCTCACAGAAAGCTGGGACGAGTGCCTGTTCCCACCAACCAGAGTGATAAACCTCATTAGTCACAAGGAATCAGGGAGTTTTCAGAAGGGCTTTGCTTTAGTAGTGGGATCCAATTAGCCCTAACCTAAAAACTACTCTGGTGGTCCTGACTAACAAAGCTTTTAAGATTTGAAAGAATTCAACTGTTTCTAAATAATTTAACTGCTTCACAGAATAAAGTTCAAGGAGATTTTTAGAAATACAAAATATCTTGTCCCAGTAAGTCAAAATGTCTAACATCCAAATTCAGCTCAACAGACATGAAAGAAGAAAATACAACCATAATGAGAAAAATCAATCAATAGAATCGGTTGACAAGGACATTGAAACAGCTGCTGTCACTGTAGTCTATATGTTTAAATACCAAGAGGAAAGTCTGAACATGTTAAACAGAGACAAATGATGAAAATATCAAATTGAACATAATATAAAAATACAATGTCTCAAATGAAAAATATACTAGATGAAATTAACATCAGATTTGACACTGCAGAAGAAAAAGAAACTTGAAGATACAGTAAAAGGATATCCACAATGAAAAATGGAGGAGAAAAAAACTAGGAAAAACACACACACCACCACCACCACAGTCACTACCATCACTACCAGTAAACTGTGAGACAACTTCAAGTGACCTACTATATTTGCAACCTAGCAGGGACCACAAAATATGTAATAATAGCCTGGCCAGAGTGGCTCTGTGGTTGAGCATTGACCCATGCACCAAGAGGTCACTGGTTTGATTCCTGGTCAGGGCACATGCCCAGGTTGTGGGCCTGATCCCCAGTGTGGGGCATGCAGGATGTGGCCAATTGATGTTCTCTCAAATCAATGTTTCTGTCTCTCTCTCCCTCTCCCTTTCTCTCTCTTTCTAAAACCAATAAAGAAAAAAAAATTTAACATGTAATAATATAACAATCAAAAATTTTCCAAGTTATATGAAAAAATTGTAAGCCCACAGCTCTAGGAAGTCCAACTAATACTAAGCAAAGAAACAATAAAAATGTATACCAAGAATGTCCTTGCCCTGGCCAGTTTGGCTCAGTGGTTAGAGCGTCAGCCTGCGGTCCGGAGAGACCCAGGTTCGGTTCCCGCTAAGGGCATGTACCTTGGTTGCAGTTTGTCCCCAGCCCTGGTTGGTCGTGCGGGTGGCAGCCACTCGATGTGTCCCTTTCACATCGAGATGTTTCTCTCTCTCTCTTCCTCTCCCTCCCTCCCACTCTATCTGAACAAAAAATGGAAAAATGTCCTCGGGTGAGGATAAAAAAAAAAAGAATGTCCTCATCAAACTGCTTAAAACAAATAATCTAAAAAAATCTTGAAAGGAGCCAGCAAAATCTGACATGTTACATACAAGAATAAGAACGACATCAGACTTCTTGCTAAAAATAATCAGGTGAGAAGACAGCAGAGCAACATCTTTGAAATACTGAGAAAAAGCCCTAGCAAGTGTGGCTCAGTTGGTTAAGCACTGTCCCACCATTCACCAAAAGGTCACCAGTTCAATTCCTGGTCAGGGTTGTGGGCTCAATCCCCAGTAGGGGGCATGCAAGAGGCAGCTGATTGATGTTTCTCTTTCACATGGATGTTTCCTTTCCTTGCTCTCTAAAATCAATAAAAATATACTGTTTTAAAAAAGAAATACTGAGCCCAGTCAGTATGGCTCACTGGTTGAGCATCAACCCCTGCACCAAGAGGTCGCCAATTCAATTGCCGGTTAGGGCACATGCCCAGATCATGGGCCAAATCCCCAGTGGGGGGCATGCAGGAGGTGGTCAATAGATGTTCTCATTTCTCCTTTCCTCTCTCTCTAAAAATCAATAAAAACAACATTTGAAAAGAAAAAAGAAATACTTGAGAAAAGAAACTACTCAGAGAATTCTATACCCAACAGTAATATCTTCCAAAATCAAAGGTAAAATAACGCTGGAAAAAAATTATCATCATCAAACCTGCACTAGAAAAAAATGTTTTGAATAAGTTCTTAGGCAGGCCCTGGCTGGTTTTGCTTAGTGGTTAGAGCGTCAGCCTGAAGACTGAAGGGTTGCAGGTTCAATTCCTGGTCAAGGGCATATACCTGCATTGCAGGTTCAAGCTCAGGCCCGTAGGACTGCATCAGGAGGCAACCAATGAAGTGTCACACTCACACTGATGGGTATGTGTCTCTCTCTCTCCCCTCCCTCCACTCGCTCTAAGAATCAATGGAAAAAATATCCTTAGGTGAGGATAAACAAAATAAGTAAATAAATAATTAAAAGTCCTTAGGTAGGAACAAACAACAACAAAAAAAAACCTAATGGAAATATGGGTCTCCACAAAGGAATGAAGAACACCAGAAATG